GCTGATTACACCCCACTTTGGCTATGGGGGTGTGTCAGAATGTTATTCTCTAGCCTGTAGTGGGGTGCTCTATAGCGAGTACAACCCATCTAGGGTTTGCTATATGTATCCTCATTGCTGCTAGTGAAACCCCTCCTTTGCTCATTTCTCTCTTGCCTAGCTAGGTAAACCCTAGCTATGGCTCCTCGTTCTGCCTATGATTCTGACAGAGTGAGGGGCCTGAAACCCCTCCTCTAGTGAGTCAAGTGAGGGATGGAAGTTGAAACCCCCAAGGCGGTTGAGTGGGAGAGAGGATAGGGGGTGAATCTCCGAAGGTGGGCGAGTGGGATGGAAAATAAGGGGGAAGGGGAAATCCAATAAGTTGGGTGAGAGAGGGTAGAGGGGTGGGGGGTGAAACCCCTACCCTAAGGTGGGTTGGCGTAGAATGTCCACTCAACATGTTCTTTGATCAAATTCGAGTCACATTAACAGAGGAATCTTGATTGTAGCTCGCAAAGTTGGAACCATCTGGACTGGAAGGTGTGCGCTGGACGCGTAAGTTGTCTCAGACACAATGTGCATTTCTAGCTCTCCCATTGGCCATTGCGTGAAAGAATGTTATAAGGACCTATCACAACACTCACATATTGGTCACGGTAGGCGATTTCACCGAGTCCATCCGAGCATTTGTGGGTTCGAATTGAATCCACCAAGTGCCCTTGTTGGTGGATTCTGAATCACAGCTGTATATTGGTTTTAGCCAACACTTGAGTGGCTGAGGTCCCCTCTTCCAGCCCTAAAAATTCTAGGAAGCGGCTTTTTCCAACCAGGGAAAGCCCCAACTTAACACTTGAAATCAGGGCAACACTTTAGCGTTCAGGGCAGGAATTTACTTGGACATTCACAGATGTACATTGCTCTAACGCTGGAAGCTGTAATTGTCTCAAATTGCCTACTACCTTCCATCAAAGGTGATGTGGCAGCTTGCAGCTCTAACAAGGTGTGGAGGAAAGGGGAGAGTTAAAACCCGCAGCCTGAATTATAAAAACGAGTCAACGCTAGGTGCGGTTGGTTTTGGTTTGGTTTGGGTGAGGTTTGTAAGAGTCGCGAAAGTTGCGAGCTAGCGAAAACAAAAAGCGACAACCTGAGGTCTGGAGCAGACAAGAAAAATCCGTGCGACAGAATAGCTCGCGTTCACTCACTCTTTGAATCCGACCATCACACACCAGCTAGGGTTTTTTAGTGAACACATTTCAGACAACCTAAATTAGTAGATGGAGCGCGTATATGCAATCGAAGTGTAACGCAGGCGCAAGATGCGAGTGTCAAGCACGGAGAAAATGGGCGTGAAGAGATGAGAAATTAGCACTCGCGACCCTCGACCGTCGCCCTTGCTTTCTCCGCCCACCGCCCTCGCCTCGCCCGTCGCCCTCGCTTCCTCCGCCCGCCCTCGCTTCTCCCATACCGTCGCCCTCGCTTCCCTCGCCCGTCGACCTCGCTTCCCTCGCCCGTCGCCCTCGCTTCCCTCGCCCGTCGCCCTCGCTTCCCCCGTCATCGCTCTCGCTTTCCCCGCCTACCACCCTCGCCTCGCCTGTCACCCTCGCTTCCTCCACCCGTCGACCTCTCTTTCCCCCGCCCGTCGCCTTCGCTTCCCCCCCCCCCGTCGCCCTCGCTTCCCCTCCCCATCGCTCGCCCAGTCAACCTCTCCTCTCCCACCTGTCGCTGCGTCGACGTCGTCCTCACTCCCATCTTATTCGCCCTCTCCTCCTCTCCCCGTCGCCCATGTCCATTCCCCTCTCTCGCGCCGACGGCCTGGTTTTCCACCCCGCTATAGTTACCCCCCCTGATAGCGCTCAGTTTCCCCCCCTGATAGCGCTCAGTTTCCCCCCCTGATTGCGCTCATTTTCCCCCCCTGATTGTGCTCAGTTTCCCCCCTGGTTGCGCTCAGTTTCCCCTTTCCCCCCCCCTCCCCCCCCCCCCCCCCGATTGCGCTCAGTTTCCCCCCTGATTGCGCTCAGTTTCCCCCCTGATTGTGCTCAGTTCCCCCCCCTGCGTACGCCCAGTTTCCCCCCCTGATTGCACTCACTTTCCCCCCCTGAGTGCGCTCACTTTCCTTCATGAATGTCCTCCGTCACCCCCCTGCGTACCCTCCCCCCTTTCCGATCACCCCTTCACCCTCTCCCCTTCCTTTCTATCTCTGTCAATCCCTCGCTCTTCTCTCTCCCTCACGTCTCCCCTCCAACCCCATATTCCTTTCCCTCCTTCCCCTCATGTCTCCCTTTTCTTCCCCCCAAATCCCCACAATGTGCTCTTGATTTCCTGCCTTGCGTGCCCTTATCTCCACCTACTGCTTCCTCTCCTTCCCCTTCCTGCTTCCACTCTTTTTCTTACCTGCTTCCCCTCGTATGCCCCCTACTTACCCTCTTTTCCCACCCTTTTCCCCGTTTTTTTTACCCCTGGTTCCCATGTTCCCCCCCCCCCCCCCCCCCCCCCCCCCCTGGTTTCCCTGCTTACCCCCCTGGTTGCCCTGTTTCCCCCTCCTGGTTTCCCTGTTTCCCCTCCCTGGTTCCCCTGTTCCCCCCCCCTGGTTCCCCTGTTTCCCCCTCCTGGTTCCCCTGTCTCCCCCTCCTGGTTCCCCTGTTTCCCCCTCCTGGTTCCCCTGTTTCCCCCTCCTGGTTCCCCTGTTTCCCCCTCCTGGTTCCCCTGTTCCCCCCCCCTGGTTCCCCTGTTTCCCCCTCCTGGTTCCCCTGATTCCCCCCCCTGGTTCCCCTGTTTCCCCCTCCTGGTTCCCCTGTTTCCCCCTCCTGGTTCCCCTGTTTCCCCCTCCTGGTTCCCCTGTTTCCCCCTCCTGGTTCCCCTGTTTCCCCGCCCTGCTTGCCTTCCACGCAGTTTAGGCCAGCATCCTTCCCGCCTACCCTCTTCTCCCTGTTCCTCTCTCTTCTTACCGCCTCTCTCTCCCCTCCTCCTGTATCCCCTATCCACTGCCTTCGCCCTGCCCTACTGCCCTCCTGTCCCCCACTCTGTTTCCCCTTGCTTCCTCTCTTTCCTTCTGCTCATTCCGTTTACTGTCTTTCCCCCTTCACTCACCCCCATACCCCCCCAATGCAGTTACAGGTGCCCAGCACCAAATGTGGCTTTACCACGGCCTGGTTTATTGCTTGCAGTGTAGCAGACAAAACCAGGAAGCAACATTACACACACACCCCCTAGATTTGTTATTTTCTCGAGTTGCGTGATTCCCCTTACTTACCGTAACAGATACGGTACCGTAATATATTACTTGTTGAACTCCTTGGCACCGTATTGGTCATGTGTATGACTGCTTTGAGGCTCATAATGGTGTATTATAAAAAAAGTTCCAATACATGGCAGGCATGGCTATACATCGTGTTACTATCAAACAGCCAACACATCACAACCACATGCAGAGCAGACCTGTCCAAACACAAACCAAGAAGTCAGATGTGACGGGAATGAGAAAATGATGGGTTTGAAAGAGGAGGGATGGCAAGAGGAGGGATAAGGAGAGGATTGAGAGGGGGGGTGCTCCTGGAAAGTCCCCAAACTTGAACGGCGAATCAGGGCAAGCCCCTGAATGCGCCCTATAAGAATCAGGGCAAGCCCCTGAATGCGCCCTATAAGAATCAGGGGAAGGCCTTGAGGACGCCTTTTAGAATTCAGGGCTGTACTGGAAAACAACCCTTTAAATTCGGACCCAGGAGCGATGTCAATCCTTAATGTTCAGGGCATTAAGGGCAAATGCCCTTGAATTGTCAGCATTGTTCTGAATCCACCAAGTGCGCCGGCTAGGCAGAAGCTGTTACGAGAAGTACAATTTAATTGTTACTGAGCACTCCTCACCGCAGCAAAGAGAAGCACGCAGTATCGAAGTAAGACAGTTGGAGATGGACTCGAAGCGTCAGACAGTTGGGGCGCATCTGGACCGTCGGAGCAGACGGCATCGGGCAGCTGCAGGCAGGATGGTTTCGGCGGAAACAGTCTCGTAACTGTACGCGCCGCACGGTTGGGAATGTATTTGAATAAGGGAATGTACCCCTTAGAGTACATGGCTAGTTAGGTCGCTTCGTATTCCCTTGTACTCTTATATATATCGTTGTATTTGCATGTTCCTCTTTCATCTGAAGCATTTTACATTCACTCTGCTATTGAGGTCAAGGGCCCACCAACTATCTACCCACGTGCGAACCTTCCCGAGTAGATCCTGGTAAGCGATCATTCTCTGATCGTAGCATGGTATGAGAGCGGCTCGGGAATCCTTCGCAACACCACTCCCGAAAATTGCGACATTCGGAAAGTGGCGACCGGCACACGCTCGCGTGTGAGAATGGCCGGAGGATCTGGTGGTCAGACTAATCTGACGGCTGAAGCTCGCACCAATCCGGCTGCGACAAGTGAGGAAACGACTACTATCGGCACCGAAGTCCTCGCACAACTTCTTCAGCGACTCACCAGCCTGGAGTAGGGGCTCCAAACATTGCAGAACGGCGATGCGGGAACATCCTCGCAACCATCTCAACCGGCCCCAACTGGGCAGAACGCCGTCCCGCAAACCTTCTCCCTCGACACAAATGGCTCAACCCCCAAAGCTCCCCGTCCCAGTGAGGAGGCAATCCTCTCAGCACAATCAAAGTTTCTCAGCATATAAAAAATAAAGACAAGTACCTGTGAAACTTAGAACGAGAATGATGAATGACTAAGAGGAATGAGAGTACAAATGTGAAACCCTAGAGTTCTGTACCCTCTAAGGCTAAACCCACTGTAGCCTACAAAGCTACAACATGCATAATGTTTGACACACCCCCATAGGAAAAGTGGGGGAGAACAAGGGGTCACAAGACCAGTCAAGCAAAGCAAGGCAAACAAGCTCAGGGTGGATCACGACGTCACCACACAGTCTGAGCACAAGTTCAAGGCCACAAGGCCAGTTCACATGCAAGATTACATATATATAATGCTAAACAAGCAAGAGCAGGTATATATATGTAACAGTACAAGCAAGGTCAAGAAGTAAGCAAGTGAGGCAAGGTAGGCACAAGACCTAACAGAGTACAGAAGCGCTGATGATCACAAGGCGCGAGTGCCTTGGTGAAGATATCAGCAGTGTTGGCCTCAGAGGCCACGTAAGCAAGGCGCAGCTGACCACGCTGCTGCAGCTCACGAGCAAGGAAGTAGCGGAGAGCGATGTGCTTCGTTCTGTGCTCCAGTCTGTGCTCCCGACACAAGGCCAGCATGGCCTTGTTGTCGACGTACAGCACTAGAGGAGAACGAGGCGGCTCTCCCAGGTCAGTCAGCAGGTAGGTGAGCCAGCGTAGCTCCTGTGCAGCCATGGCCCCTGCGTAGATCTCAGCCTCACAGCTCGAGCCGAGAACAGAAGACGAGCGGGTAGACCGCCACGAAACAGAGCCGGAACCAAGGCTGAAGGTGTAACCCTGTGACGACCGCTGCGTAGCCTGGTCGTCTGCCCAAGAAGCGTCTGCGTGACCAGTGAGGACCACTGGACTCTGCCCTCCAAGCACAAGCCCCATGCCCGACGTACTACACAAGTAGCGCAACACCCTCTTCGCTGCAGCCATGTGCTCTGGTCTGTGTCTCCCAGGAGCAACATAGCGTGCAAGAATGCTAAGAGGGTATGCAAGGTCAGGTCGAGTGCAGGTCATCAGGTACATGAGGCAGCCGACAAGCTCTGCGTACGGGCCACTCGACTCTACGGACTCATCCGAAGGCAGAGCTGAGAGCGAGTGGCGTGTAGGCAGAGGAGTGGCCTGAGGCGAGGAGTACGTGAAGCCGAAGCGCTGAAGGACCTGCTGCACCATGTGTGACTGAGTCAGGGTAATGGTGCGCTGTGCTCTGTCCCGGGTGATCTGCAAGCCAAGGTAGCTGCGCAGTTCACCCAGGTCTGTGCACGTGTGTCTCTTCTGCAGTTCGGACTTCACGTAGGCAAGTCTAGCAGTGTCAGCTGTAGCAAAGACCAAGTCGTCGACGTACACGAGGATGTAGAACGGCGGCAAAGAAGTGTCGGTGCGCAGAAACAGCGACGGGTCGGCAGTAGAAGGTGCAAACCCAAGAGCCGCAAGTGTCGTCCTCAGTGTGTCGTGCCACTCACGAGGCGCCTGGCGGAGACCGTAGACTGGCCGCCGGAGGCTCCACTGGGTGCCAGGAGGAAAAGTCCCAGTGAAGCCACGTGGGCGGCGCAGCCAGATCTCCTCGTGCAGGCTGCCCTGCAAGAAAGCAGTGCTGAAGTCAAGAGAGTGCAGCTCGTAGTCTCGGTAAGCGGCTATGTGCAGCAGTACCCGAAGAGTGGTCATCTTCAGGGTGGGAGAGAAGGTCTGAAAGTAGTCAACTCCCTGCCGCTGACTGAAGCCACGAGCCACGTAACGCGCCTTGAAGACAGGCGGAGAACCCGGCGGCCGCTTCACCCTGAAAATCCACATGCCACTGACGATGTTCGCCCCAGGCGGGGGAACCTCGTCAACGTAGGTGCCTGTGGACTTCCAGAAAGCCATCTCTGCGTCCATGGCTGCCTGCCACTAAGAGGAGTAGGGACCCTCTATCGCCTCTGCGTAAGAGCGCGGAGTCGGGATGTCAAGTGCATCCGGGTCTCCCTCAGGGGCAAGCAGCATGGACACGAGATGAGGTGAAGCAGCAGCCAAGCACTGGAACTCCTCCTGCCTGTCCTCAAGGACGTCCGTGCCAAGAGCACACTCACCCCCGACGGACGGAGGACAGACAGACCCAGACTCAGCAACAAGACTAGCAGCGTAGTCTAGGCGACAGCGAGCAGCGAAGTCGACAAGCTCAGCAACTAGGGCAGACGCAGCAGTAGACTCAAAGGAAGGGTCAGTGACGACAGTAGCAAGGAGACGCGTGACAGTAGGACGCGCAGCACGAAGGGAGTCCGACTCCGGGTCAGGAAGGTCAGGAAGAGAGGACGCTGGAGGAGAAGGCAAAGGGGCACGCAGCGGAGCAGTGGAAGGACGCAGAGACATCCGGTGCGTGCCGGGGACAGGGGGAGGACGCTGGCGCGAACCACGACCACTAGTGCGAGCAGCACGGACAGGCGACGCAGGGCGAGACGCAGGCTCACGACGCTCAGCAAGACCTCTAGTAGGACCAGTGTAGGGAGAAGGAGAAGGAAGCGGGGAAGGTGGCTGTAACTGTGACTCAGACTGGACAGGAGGCGGACACTCTAAGGCAGGAGCAGGACCAAGAGAGGACGGAAGACCAAGAACCTGCTCAAGGAGCGGAACGAAGTACGGCCGCGGCCGCGTAGCTCCACCAGTGCCAGCAGGAACAGCACCAGCACCCCCAGCGGGAGCACCAGCACCAGGAGGACCCTCAGCTCCAGCAGCTCCAACTCCAGCACCCTCAGCAGCACCAGCGCCAGGAGCACCCCCAGCGCCAACACCAGCAGCACCAGCAGCACCAGCAGCTCCAGCTCCAGGAGCACCAGCAGCACCACCAGCTCCAGCAGGAGGAGCACTCGTAGGGCCAGCAGCTCCAGTACACTCGGTACGAGCACGCCTGGGACCCTCGGCACCAGTACTCTCAGCAGCAGTAGAACCTCCAGCTCCTGCAGCACCACCAGCTCCAGCAGCACGTCGCCAGCGCCGGGCGAACCACTCACGCAGCTCCTGTGGAGAGAGTAGCTCCCGCCGGGACGAAGCACCCGAAGAACTGTCAGGCTCAGCACCACCAGACGCCGGACGAGCAGGTCCAGCACCCTCAGGCTCCGCACTCCGAGACACAGCACCCCCAGGCTCAGCACCCCCAGGCGCAGCACCCCCAGGCTCAGTAACCCCAGGCACAGCACCCCCAGGCTCAGCACCCCGAGCAGCACCCCCAGGCCCAGCACCCCCAGGCTCAGCACCCCCAGTCGCAGCACCCCCAGACCCAGCACCCCCAGGCTCAGCACCACCAGCAGCACCAGAGTCAACAGCTACCTCGACTGGCTCAACTGCATCTACCTGGGACACACCTGAGGGAGCAGGACCCTGAGGGGGAAGGGGGTCTACCGGAGGGGGACCTGGAGGGGGTAAGGAAGAGCGGCGGGGGAGGGAGGGACGCAGTGCGGTAGGGGAAGAGACGGTAGTAGGGAACCGACTCGTCAAAGGTGACGTCCTGGGACGCGAAGACACGGCGCGAGGTGGGGTGGTAGAACTGCCAGCCTGGCGCGTCAGGGGGAAAGCCAAGGAAGACGCAGGGAACAGCACGAGAGGACAGCTTGTCCGCAGACAAGTCGCGGACAAACGCCCTAGATCCCCAGACCCGGAAACGCGACGCATCACCAACCTTCCCCGTCCACAGCAAAGCAGGGGAGGTCTCCGGCATGGAGACCCGGGGGTGAAGGTTGAGCTGATGCGCCGCGTACCGAACCGCAAACGGCCACAGAAAATGGGGAGCAGCCGCATGGATCATGGACGTACGAGCGACGTCCATGATCATGCCGATGCGGCGCTCAGCAATCCCATTCTGCTGCGGAGAGTCCGGAAGCGTGAAGGTCTGGCGGATGCCTCGTGCGCGACAGAAGGCCCGCAGAAGGTCAGAGGAGAACTCTCCGCCTCTGTCGGAGTGCAGACGCCGAACAGGAAAGTCGGAGCCGAAACTCTCCCGGAGCTGGAGACGAGCTGCGCGGATCCAGGCGATCAACACCTCAGTGACGTCACCCTTGCTGCGCAAGGGGAAGACTGCGGTGTAACGCGAGTAGTCGTCAACCACCAGCAGGAAGTAACGCTCCTGACCCTGCCCACGAACGCGGGCTGGGCCCCACACGTCCATGTGAAGCGTCTGCAGCGGAGCCTCTGTCGGAGGAAACTCGGAGGAGTGAGGAGCAGCGCGCTGCCGCCCCTCGACGCAGGGAACGCAGGTGGGGGCAGGCCCCGGAGGAAGGGGAGGGAGGGACCGGGGGAGACCAGAAACAAGAAGACGGGAAGCCATGCCTCGAAGGCGAGGCAGGGAGGGGTGACCAAGACGGTGGTGCCAGAGGAGAGTCCGGTGAGACAGGAGACGACACGAGCAGGGGGCAGACTCAGGACCAGACCTGGACACCGCAGCAAACACCTGACCCGACGCGGCTACCTGAGCAGACTCAGTGACTGGAGGAGACTCAGTAGTCAGTGTGTACAGGCTCGACCCTGGCCGACGAGCAAACGTGGCCAAGTGTCGGCCCGTGTCCGCACAAGTGCAGTGGGTCACCCGCTGACGCGCAGGGGTGAACTGGTCAACTCCTGCATCCTGGAGGTCAGCACCCGCCACCAAGTTCGTAGAGAACGAGGGGAGGTAGAGACCCGACAGGGAGCCAGACGGGACCGCCGGACACGGTAGGACAGTGGAGTAGTGAGCAAGGACAGGACCCCCAGAGGGGTCCGCCAGGGAGACCGCAACAGGCCGACTGAGCGGTGTGAGAGTGGTGCAGTCTCGAAAGAAGGAGCGGGAAGCACCCGAGTCAAGGGTGAAGGTGTGGGTGTCCGGGGACGACGCAGCACCTGAGAGCGCAAACTCACCGGCACCTGGGGCAGCAGACGCACTGGCACCTAGAGCAGCAGCCTCACAAGTACCTAGCGCAGCAGCCTCTATGCCTGGGTCAGGCGGGAAACACCGGTAACAGTCACCCTCATCACTAATAGTCACAGCATACATGGCAGCAAGAATAGCATCAAAATCAAGATCATAGATTGCAACACCCGCCCTAGACAGCTCGCCCCAGCGAGGGATCTCAGTAGCGTCGGGGAACTGGTGGCGCCACGCGTCTGTCAGACGGCCGAAGCAGCGCTGGGTGGGGTGCGCGCCCCCACACTGCTCACCCGCCCGGTCGCCGGTACGGAGAACGTAGGTACAGGGGCCAGCACCCCCGCCCCGCTGACGAGCAGCGTACCACTCACGAAGCTGCTGGGGGGAAGGGGTCTCACGGGTACGCTGCTGCTGCTGCTGCTGGCGCGCACCACCACCGGAGCCACCCCTCTGCGCAGCGCCACCCCGACCAGCTCCGCCGCCTCCGCCGCTACCTCCTCCACTACCGCCACCTCCGCCACCTCCGCTCCCACCGCCACCGCCGCCTCCACCTCCACCTCCAGTCCCGCCACCGACGCCCCCACCCCCGCCACCACCCCCACCGCCACCCCCACCCCCTCCACCACCTCCACCTCCGCCTCCACCGCCCCCGCCAGCTCCTCCAGCACCCTTGCCCCCCTTGCCCTTGCCAGGGCGGCGTCTCCCGCTAGGGGCAGACGCCGCAGCGACCGACTCAAGACCAACGAGGTCGGCCGCAGCAGCAGAGGCAACAGAGGGCAAGAGGGGAGAGGGGGAGCACCCCTCAAAGACAGGGGTACGAGGGTCACCACGAGAGGCACCTACTGCGACTATGCTCTTCTCTGCCGCGAGCAGGCGCTCCTCGAGGAGGTCAACGGTGAGGGTGGTGGGGCAAACAGAGAGGAAGTGGTCCCTAACCGGGCGAAGGGTGTCAGGGAGCCGGGTGACTATGTAGTAGAGGGTGATGTACATGGGGGGGGGGGTCTTGGCGCAGATTTCAGCAGGAAGTGCAGCGCGGTAGCGAGTGTCACTAGTGCGGAGGTGCGTAATGAGGTCAGCGACAGTGGGAAAAGCGGCGAGGTCAGGGAAGAGGTACGGTAGGATGAGGCGGCTAAGTGCAGCAGTGGCAGGTGAAGAGCAGCGTGCAACTACAGCGTCGTACAAGGTCTTAGCACTCTTGTACTGGCTAAAGTGCGCACGCTCAGCGGTCGGCAAGTGGCGGCGCACAGCAAGGCGGGCAGCAGCATCGCGCGTGGCCCACTGAGAGCGAACAGTGGGGTCAGCATCAGCAGCAGGGGCAGGAGAGGCACCAGAAGTGAGGTCAAAGAGAGAAAGGCCGTCTGCTCTGTCGCTCAGTAGGAAAAGCTGCAGGTCATCTACCCAGACGTCAAAGTCAATGGCCCGACCCTCAGCGTCAAAGGTGAGGACACTGGGGGAAGCCATGACAGCAGTAGACGAGCAGTGAGAGCAGCAGGCAAGGGCAGAGCAGTGGCGGAGGCGCTGCTCTTACCGGGCAGGCGAGAAGGACCGAGGCGCGCCGGCGGGAACAGGGCCACGACGGCAGGAACGGCGGCTCGGCGACAGTGGCGTCCCAGCGGCTCGGCAGCACGACGGCAGTGGCGGCTCGGCAGCACGGCGGCAACGGCGGCACGGCGGCGTCTGCAGCTCAGCGGCAGCGGCGGCTCGGCGGCGTCGGCGTCGCGGCGGCTCGGCTGCTCGGCGGGGCTGCGAGGGTGTGGCGACGGGGCCGCAAAGGGCGGCGGTGGGGTCGCACAGGCGTGGCGACTGGATCGCAGGCGGCCGCGGCGGCAGGGACGCGAGCGGCTGCGACAGCAGGGCCGCGGGCGGCTGCGGCGACGGGGTCGCGGGCGGCTGCGGCGAAGGGGTCGCAGGCGGCTGCTGCGACGAGGCCGCGGGCGGCATGAAGGGCGACGGGGCCGCTACGGGCGGCGGTGGGGTCGCGGGCGGCAGAGCCGCGAGGGGCGACGCCGGGGTCACGAGGGTGGGGCCGCGGGGTCGCGAGGGTAGGGCGACGGGGCCAGAGGAGGCGGCGCCGGGGCCGCTAGGGCGACGCGACGGGGCCGGAAGGGCGGCGCGACGGGGCCGCTAAGGGCAGCTAGAGGGGAGCGCGACTCGGGCAGGGGCGGAGCGCGCTCCGGGCAGGAAAAAAAAAAAAAAAAGGTTGGTGGGCCCTAGGAACAGTTCCCACGAGGGAACCTGCTCTGATACCATGTGAAACTTAGAACGAGAATGATGAATGACTAAGAGGAATGAGAGTACAAATGTGAAACCCTAGAGTTCTGTACCCTCTAAGGCTAAACCCACTGTAGCCTACAAAGCTACAACATGCATAATGTTTGACAGTACCTGCTTCGACGGCAGAGATTTCTATACCTGGAGCTTCGAATTGGAGCTCCTGCTGCAGAACGCCCAAATCTATCACTATTTCGACGGGAGCTACGCGGAACCCGCTGATGATACCAACGATGCCAGGACTCGCTACTACAACGAGTCCCTGATGGCGTACGGGATTCTCCTGCGCAATATGTCGCCGGCGGAGCAGCTGAACATCCGTTCGTACAAGACATCGGCTGCTCCAGCCCTCGACGCCTGGCGCCACCTGAACGGCGTGTACCAGCCGAAAGACTCCGTCTCTTTGAGCCGACTGCTTTAGCAGCTACTGGAGACCAAGATGGCTCCAGGGGAGAAGGTCAACAGCTACATCAATCGCTGTCGGAGCCTTCGCGATCAAATCGTGAAGCTAGGGAGTTCGATTTCCGAAGAAATCTTCATGAGCAGCGTGCTTCAAGGGCTCGGCCCAGAGTGGCGGCCCTGCAAGGCGCTTCTCCGACAGCAGGGGGTCATCTCGGAGGCCGCCCTCTGCGCCGCCCTTCTCGTCGAACAAAGGGATATGGACCAGCAGCGACCAGCGCCGCGACGAGAAAGAGAACGGATCGCCTTCTACGCCGACAACAACGAAGAGCGACGGCCGAGGCGCCTCTACTGCAAAATTTGCAGGACTTTCGGGCACCTGGCGGATCGATGTAAATACCGATCTCGCCCTCGCCAGACCAATCCGAGCACCTGGTCCGGCCGACAAGACGCACGAGGCGACGTGCGTCCAGCCCAGGGGTATCAACCCCCACCCGCGCGCAACCTGAACCCCGCGGTTCAGCATCAGCAGCAGCAGCCACCGACCGCCACAGCACGCAATGTCATGAGCAACATGGCCATGACAGGCGAGTCACGTCGTCGCCGCGCACGCTCAGCATCACCTGAGCCTGCACCGCATCCCATTGGCGCGTTCTCTAACAACAACCCATTCAGTCCGCGCCACGACTTCACCGACGACGACGACCAGGACTGGAATCTCCCAGTCCCGCTGCTTGAGAGTCCCCCGCACGTACCGGACATGTGGGTGGCGCCACTTGATTGGCTCTCGCGCGAGCAATTCCTGAAGTTCGACACTCCGCACATCGTCACGCCGCGACTGGCGCTGCTCGCACGTGACGACAACAAGCGCTACAACACCTGGTACCTGGACAGCTGCTGCGGCCAGCATATGGTAGGCTCCGAGCGTTACATATCCAACGCCGTCGCCACCCCCACAGTCACTTACGTCACAGTGGCGAACAACACGCGCCTGCGCGCAAACGCGCAAGGCATCGTTGTGCTCAAAGCACGCGGAAGCCGCACGCACATCACGCTCAACGATGTGCTGATCGTCCAGAACCTGCGCTTCAACCTCCTGTCCGCCGCACAGCTCATGGATTGCGGCGTAGAACTCAGCACGGATCGCGCGACGCAGGACATTCTGCTGCACTACGAAACGCGCACTTTTTCCCGCAGGCAGATCGGACGGGCACACTCCGAAAATGGAGTGTACGTTTTGGATTTCGACATTCCCGACTGCAGCGGCGATTCGCACGAGTTAATCGACCTCGTGCCACTGCGCTTCGAGCACATCCACCGCAGGGACTGGAAGCACCCTGACGGAAGACCGTGGGTGCCGCATCATCCCCACCCACGCGAAACGGCGCTGCACAACCCCGACCCAGACGGCATCTGCAGGGACTGCCACACGCCAACGACATCAAGCAGCGCCATTGGCGGGCGTGGACTCGCCGCCATCGCGGAAGCAGAACGCCACGCGCCGCCAGAAGAAGGGATGTCGCAACTCGAACTGGAAGTCACCACTCAGCGTGTGTTCGGCACCGACCAAAGCCCCCACGCTGGACCACCCTCTCAGCGCCTTGAAGGCATTCTGCGTGGACAACGCCGCGGAACCTTCGACACGCGCGGAGTGGCGCGGCCTTACACCCGCGAAGAGTTTCTGAAGATTTACCCCCACTGGCGCGATCCCACGGCAACACTCACCGTGGAACAAGAGGAAGAACTGGCGCGCCGCGAAGCCGAGGAGCTTCGCCAACAGAGCCTCGCCGAGGCACGCGGAACGTTCGCTTGCGCCGCATGGGGCGCCGAAGCTGAAGAAAGCGCCACCAATGAAGGGGGGTGGGGAAGCGTCGGCGGTTGGGGAACGGCTGAGGCTGGCGACTGGGGCAACACCGGCGGAACCTGGGCAACCGTAATCGGCGGATGGGGCGCCACATCTGGCGCCGACACGAGTGGCTGGGGCACCCCTACTGGAGACTGGGGGACTTCCCGCGAAGACCAAAGGGGGGGAGAAGAAGAAGCTGGAGAGTCTGCAGTTGTTCCCCTCGGTCGTCCCCCACGCCATGTCCCACTCGCGTTACCTCCTCTCGACAACCCACCGCGCCGCGACCCATGGGACACCATCGCATGGGGCAACGAGCCGTCAACCCCGCGTCGCACCGCTTACGGACCGGCTCCCGAACCACGCGAACCAACCCTCGTCCCTGGAACCATCCCTGGGACCAACATCCCACTCTCTGAGATCCGCGACAGAGAGTTTCTGGCGCTGATGCTGACTACCGCGGCAGAAGAAGAAGATGCAGAAGAAGCAGCAGCAGAACCTGCTCCCGTACCTGATGAAGACCCGGAGGAAGCCCGCGCGCGCTACATGCGCACCTCCGGCTTTCGCGCCGACGATGCACTTTGGCACCAGCGCCTCGGACATCCCTCACGCGCAACACTGAAAAACTGCATCGACGCAGGCGTCTTCGCTCCTGGAGCGCTCCTACGCCCAGATGGCAGTGAAGTGAGAGGTGCGACACATCCGCGCAACTGCACCGTCTGCCCCGAAGCTGCGCTAAGCCACCAACCGTTCCCGCTGCTCGAGCCAGGAACGAACCGCTACCCCAAGCTGCACAAAGTGTACAACGATTTTCTCAACGTGGGGCACTGCGGGGTCGACGACGAACTCTACACACTCACCTTTATCGACGCTGGAACACGCCATGTGTGGGTCGTGAACGTAGAAACTCGCGACAGGGCCTACGAAGTGTTCCGCCTTTGGCTGGCGCACGCGCAACGGCAATCTGGGAAGAAACTGAAGATCTGGCAATCTGACGGCGCAGCAGAGTTCAGGAGCAACCAGATGCAGACTTACCTGGCGCAAAAGGGGATCGAGCATCACATCTCTCTCCCCTACGCACATCAGCAGCAAGGCGTAGCCGAGCGGACGAATCGCACACTGATGACGAAGGTGCGGGCGCTGATGAAGCAGTCGAAGCTGCCGCCGATCTACTGGACTTACGCGATGCACCACGCCGTGCGGGTGCACAACCTGCTTTCAACCACCGCGATCACCGGGAATCTCTCCCCGCACGTCAAATGGACCGGGACCAAGGGGGATACCTCCATGCTCCGCGTGTGGGGATGCATGGTGCAGTACCGCCCGCCAACATCAACCATCGGCAAATTCGCCAGTCGCGCGCGCTGGGGAATACACCTTGGCATCAGTCACGAGTACAGCTGCTCGGGCTTCACACCGCAACCTCGAAGGCGCCACGTGTAATCGAGCCCCGAAACCCGCTCGAAGCTCTGTCTGGGCCACACAGCAAGGAGTGGCGCGAGGCAATGGATGCGGAGATCAAGGCGCTCGAGTCCCGAGACACCTGGGTGTTAGTCGACCGTGCGGCAATCAAAGGTGCAAGAATCCTTTCGGGAAAGTGGGTCTTCCGCGTGAAGACCGCAACTGACGGAACGATCGAGCGCTTCAAGGCACGCTGGGTAGTCCGCGGCTATGATCAGAGGCACGGCATCGACTTCGACCAGACATTCGCTCCAGTCAGTCGCTACACCCCCGTTCGAATCCTGCTCGCCATCGCAGCTGCAAGGCACCTGCCACTCCGCCAGATCGACGTGAAGAATGCGTTCCTGTACGCGCTAGTAGACGCCGTGATCTACGTGGAGCAGCCGCACACCTACGGTGAAGGAAATTCGCGCGTGTGTCAACTGCGCAAGTCGCTCTACGGGATCAAACAAGCGCCGAGACTGTGGCAGCATTACCTGCACAATATCCTGCTTGAAATCGGGTTCAAGCAGATGCCCCACGACCCAGGGATGTACCGCCGCGATTTCCGCGGGGAATACATCCTCCTCACGGTCTACGTCGACGACTTGCTCTACACGGGCTCAAACAACGAGCTGCTCGAACAGTTCGAAAGGGCTTTGGCGGGGCGCGTCGACATCACGTGCAATTACGAGGTGAAGCAGTTCCTAGGCCTCAACATCTCCTACGCGCCTGAAGCCATTCACCTCTCAGCGGCTAAGTACGCAGAGGAGCTAGGGAAGCGGTTCAACATTCCCCCTGCACCTCTCTCAACACCCTACCGAACCCCTGGACCGAACCACAAACCCGACAACAAAGCCCTATCCCCTGCTGGAGTTCAGACTTACCGTCAACAGCTGGGATGCCTCCTCTTCGCCTCTGTCACCTGCAGGCCAGACCTCTCCTACATCGCAAGTCAGCTTGCCCAGTACTCACGGAAACCAACGGCTGAGAATCACCTGGACCTGCAGCGCGCTTTGCAATTTTTCGTCTCAACGCCCAAGATTGGGCTGTGCTACTCAACTGCACCAACCCCATCCTTCAATCTCGTCGGCTATGTGGATGCCGATCATGCAGCAGATCCCGACAATCGACGGTCCAGGACCGGCTTCCTGTTCCGACTCGAACCAACGGGGCCAATCTCCTGGAACTCACAGAAGCAGGAGCTGGTTGCCCTGTCGTCAGCCGAAGCAGAATTCATCGCAGCAACCGCAGCAGTTCGCGAAGGCCTCTACCTACAGGAACTCCTGCAGGAGGCGAAAATTCCAGCTTCGCCAACCTTTCGACTTCACTGCGACAACCAGAGCGCGATTCGCATCGCGAACAAACCTGGTTTCGTCAATCGCACCAAGCACATTGCGCTGCGATACTTCTTCGTGAAGGACGAGGTGGACAAGGGCAAGGTCAACTTGACCTATTGCCCGACCGGTGACATGGCAGCAGACTTCCTCACGAAGCGACTGCCACGCCAGCAGTATCAACACTGCTCCGAACTCAGCGGCGTGGTCAAGCAGGTCAAATCGAGCTACGGCCAGGAGTGAAGGGGGGTGTTACGAGAAGTACAATTTAATTGTTACTGAGCACTCCTCACCGCAGCAAAGAGAAGCACGCAGTATCGAAGCAAGAACGCGAACCGTCAGACGGTTGGAGATTGACTCGAAGCGTCAGACAGTTGGGGCGCATCTGGACCGTCGGAGCAGACGGCATCGGGCAGCTGCAGGCAAAATGGTTTTGGCGGGAACAGTCTCGTAACTGTACGCGCCGCACGGTTGGGAATGTATTTGAATAAGGGAATGCACCCCTTAGAGTACATGGCTAGTTAGGTCGCTTCGTATTCCCTTGTACTCTTATATATATATCGTTGTACGGTATTTGCATGTTCCTCTTTCATCTCAAGCATTTTACATTCACTCTGCTATTGAGGTCAAGGGCCCACCAACTATCTACCCACGTGCGAACCTTCCCGAGTAGATCCTGGTAAGCGATCATTCTCTGATCGTAGCAAAAGCGATACAGGTCCAACTTCGGTTTCAGACAAATCGCGATAGTGGTCTGACAATTCAGAGTCGATAGTCGCTCATACAATTTTGTCTGAGTTTCAGACTTTGGAAAGTGGAAAGTCTGGACATTCAGACAAAGGCAAAGAAACAGTTCTGTATATAAGAAAATTATACTATTTTGGTTTGGAAAATAGGCTCTTCATTATCCATCCTCCCAACATTAAGACTCATGGAGTGTACTCTTTGATTGAAGCGTCTTATACCGGTATGTTCATTCCAAGAACCCACAAGATAGGCGCGAAACTGGATGACTGTCAGTTGGTGAAGGGGCAACACGAACCAGGGGCTCGTTCCGTTCGTTCGCACACGTATTCATTCGGTCAAGCGTTGGGGTGCGCTCGTAACTCCAACCACCTTGATTCGTGCGCGACGAAATTCTGACAAAGCCGCTCACGAATAATAATGCTTCGTTAATAGTTACTGAGCCTAGCGAATGATCAAACATGAAGCTCTTCGATATCGCGAAGCGCTTTCCACCAATGGCGTCAACGCAGGGCAGGCTTGCATCCCCAACCTGTTGGATGAGCAGTGCCATCCCATGCGTTGCATGGACCCTTTCCCCCCACTTAGGGCGCGTGTCTTTTGGTGTAGATTGTCAAAGTTCGAGCCTAGTACCGCTTTGTAACGTGGCGACACGTCTCTCAACTGTATCCTACCGCGTACAACCTTTCTAAAAGTTCAACTTGGCCGAAGTTCAACCTCAAGGACACGCGCCCTTACCTCTTTCCCCCCCTACGCCTCCCCGCTTCCCCCCGTTCTCCCTCCCTCCACTGCCTTTCCCCGCGCCAAGCTTGAGCAGGTGGCCCCACCACCCAAAAAAAAAAAGCATGATATGAACAACACCGCTTTGGAAACGAGTAAACCAGATTTAACCGTGCTCATTTATGCTATTCATTTGTCGATGAAACATCCAGCGCCAACCTTCTAGAGAGGTTGTACACGGTATTTGTTTGTCTAATTTGTTTGAGTACGGTGCAGCGCGTTGACAGTCCAAATCAAGGAATGTTGTCACGCCCATAGAATTCTTCTCAAGTCTTGGGATGACCAAGCTCGAGGGACGGAAGCCAAGATGCCCTGGGATCATCATCACTCTCCTTCATGCTCAAGTTTCGAACAGTCCCTGGTTGTAACGGCAGCAGCCAAACCAGAGTTGCAGGTGTGCTATTGCTGGCAGCCCTGCTGCTGGCTCCTCTAGGATTCGCAACTGCCGGATAGGTCAGCAGGCAGCGGCGATCACGCACAGAGCAAGCTTTGCTCGCTGTTGCTTGAAAAGGGAATCTGCATGATTACAACATTGTCTTGCGACGCCTTCCGTCCATGGACCAGATCGGCAATTTCTTTCAGTAAGGATTCGTTTGGTAAACCTAACATAGTTTCTATTCGTGCCGGAAATCAAGAGTTTGGCAAGGCGGGTTCTTGACCGAAAGACTCGCAGCCATGGATGATCTCGCGAGCGTGCTTGCCGCTGCGGGCCTCAAGTCGCAAGGCAAGCACACGCCGATGGTACCGAAGCGACCCCCAGGGGGAGGCATGGGCGGAGGCATGGGGGGAGGCATGGGCGGAGGCATGGGGGGAGGGATGGGGGGAGGTATGGGGGTAGGCGGAACACCCAGCTGGGGTGTCGGCGGCGCAGGAATCGTGGGAGGCCAGATGGGCGGAAGCGGCGTGGGTTCCGGAATGGGGGGAGGCACGGGGGGAGGGATGGGTCGAGGGGTGGGCGGGGGTATGGGGGGGAGTTCGGGAGGTATGGGGAATTTAGGAGGTATGGGGAATTTAGGAGGTATGGGAAACTTGGGGGGTATGGGAAATTTGGGAGGCATGGGAAATCTAGGAGGTGGGATGAACAAACCTGCTGCCGGTATGGGTGGTGGCATGGGTGGCGGCGGAAGTGGCAGCATGGGTAGCGGCATGGGTGGCGGCATGGGTGGCGGCATGGGTGGTGGGATGGGCGGCGGCATGGGCGGCGGCATGGGTTCGTTTGGCAAAGGCATGGCTGGCAGCGGCAGTAGCGGCGGGAGTCGCGGCGCAAGTACCGGCCTTTCCAACAATGCGTTCGCGGGGCTGGGAGTGGCTGATTTCGGGCTCGGCGGCGGAAGCGGAGCGGGGAGCAAGAGCGGCGCGGGCGCAAGCTCGTCGAGTCGCGGCCCAACCCCCACGAGATCCGGACATTCCGGACGATCGTCGCCGTCCGTTACCGAGGATCTCTCGTCAGGGTCTACTGGCGGCGGCGGCGGCGGCGGGGTGGCGGCGACAGCGTCGGCGTTTGACGAGCTGATGAGCCAGGGGTTTGAAATGCCGCATTCGTCGTCTGCGACGTCGTCGGCGAAAGAGCGTCGCGATCCGTCGCCTGTGCCTCCTGCTCACGCGGACGACGATCTGCTGGCCGGATTTGGCAGGTACGTTGATCTATCACGGGTCTCGAAATTTGTTGGCGGGATTCGGTGGGTAGGATGAGAAGAAGGGAAAAGGGGTGTCAAGGTGTCTCACAATTCGGTGCCTGCTGCTCACGCGGACGACGATCTGCTGGCGGGATTCGGCAGGTACGTTGATTTCTTACGCACCTCAAGAACAGGTACACTCGGCTTTGATCTACTGGCCAGATTCGGCAGGTACGAGCGGTGGGGGGGGAGGAAACAAGTCTTTAAACGTCTCACAATTTGGTGCTTGCTGCTCACGCGGAGGAGGACTTGTTGACCCGATTCGGCAGGTATTTTTTACGCGCTACATGAACAGTTACACGCGGACGGCGATTTCTGGCTGGATTCGGCAGGTACGTTGCGGGGAGAGGGTAACTGGCGAACTCTGAAAGCGCGCGGACATGAAAAGCCGGAACGCAATGTTGCGTGATGATATACAGTGGTGTTACGCGGCCCGAATCATTCAATGAACTTAACAAGTCTGAGTTAGATTGAAGTCGCTTTCGAGAAATCTCAAAAGCGACATAAGTCCGAGTTTTGGTTTGAAGACGTGTCAAAACTCCTACTTGGATGAAGAATAACCAAGTGCGGAATGAGATGGGCAATCTTGGCCGTCCCATGCGTGGGACGAGATGGGCGATCTTTGCCGTTCATTGTAAACAGTCGCTGGGCGATCGCGGCTCCCCCGACTGATCCCCAGAACGGCGTAATTTGGAGATCGCGGCCCCATGTTTACCCGGAGCAGGAAAGATTGCTTCGCCTTTTCAAGTTTCGAAATTTCAGGGTCGCGACAATGCAACGACTCGGGAGGCGGTGTGCTAGTTGAGTTAGTCAATGCGAGCTAGATTGTTTCAAGTGGTATCAAATCGTATCAGATTGTCCCCCACCCCTTGCTTTTCGCGTTGATCAGCTATGGGTGCGCGCTTGAATGAAAGGCACACTCAGATTCGTACTCTTGATTTTGCTGGCTGTCCACTGCGGTAGGCATGCCAACGAGCGCGAAAGTCCTTCCCTTCTCCTCCTGTGATGCGCCGTAACCCAACCCGACCTTCCCCATTCATCTCCACCCCTCTCCATCCCTCCCCATCCCTCCCCATCCCTCCCGATCCTTCCCCACCGCTCCCCGACCCGCCACATCCCCGTTCCCCCCCAGTTTCCCCAACCCCACGACCTTACAACTGGGGGCCCCTCTCCCTCGCCTGTGGGAGGGCTGTTTCCCGAAGAGGAAGGGAGGGAGGCCCCTCGCCCATGCCCTCGTTGCTCGTCGCAACCATGTCTTTCACCGCTTCCCCTCATTCCCTTCCCCACATCCCCTTGCCCACATCCCCTTGCCCCTTCCGCCCATCCCATTTCCCCCTTCCCCCCCTTCCCCCCCTCTCTCCTCTCCCCCTCAGTTCCGCCAAGCCCACGAGCACCGCTGGGGGTCTATTCCCTGAAGAGGGAGGCCCCTCGCCCATGCCGTCGCACTCCTCTGCTGCTGCGCCCACTGCTGCTGACCCGTTTGGAGTCGACCCGTTATTCGGTACAGCCGCCCCTGCTTCTTCTTCTGCAGCTGCTGCTGCTGTTCCTGATCCTTTTGATGCGTTTGCCATGCCTACTGCTGGAAGCGGCTCGGGAGGCTCGGGATTAGGTATGGATGGGGGGGTTCCGACACAGGGCAGCGGTTTGGGAGACCAGGGCGCAGGTCCGGATATTGGTCTGGGTGACTTTGAGACGTTCGTTCAGCAGGTTCCCGTACCTGAGGTTCGGGAAGAGCCTCGGGAGGAGGCTCGGAAGGCAAGGAGGGAGGATAGTGGGGAGGCGATGGAAAGGGAGAGAGAGAGGGAACGGGCTAAGGAGAGGGAAAGGGAAAGGGAGAAGGAAATGGAGAGGGAGCGGCAGAGGGAGAGAGAGGAGAGGGAGAGGGTGAAGAGAGGAAGTGACGGGTCAGCAGGAGGAGCAGGAGGAGGAGCAGGAGGGGCGGGAGTGGGTGGAGATCGGTGGATAACGGTTGACGAGGTTATCCTGCGAACCAATCCCAGCAGCACCCCTCCTCCGCCCTCCCGCCCACCTCCCGCCACACCCCGCCGCCCGCGCTCCAGTGCTCCCTCTTACGGTGCTACTGGCGGTGCTGGTGCTGCTGCTGGTGCTGGTGGTGATGGTCCCATGCCAAGGAAAATGAGCTTTGAGAATGCTGGGGAGGGAGGGGCAGCAGGGGCGGGCGGGCGCGGGTCAGGCGGGAGAGGGGGAGGGGAGGAGGCAGGAGGGAGAAGGCAGCAGTCAGAGCAGAGAGGCGGAGGAGGAGGTGGTTTGGATGGGTTTGATGAGTTTGCTGCCGGTGGCGGCGGGAGGGGAGGAGGGGAGGAGGAGGATGAGAGGGGGGGCCCGCCGAGGAGGCGGAGGGCGGCCAATGGGGAGGTGCCAGGTGGCGGGTATGCGCCGTCGGATTCGGCGTCAGCAGCGGCGGCATCGTCTGCTGCTATGAAAGATGCTATGGAGAGTGCACAGAGGAAGGCTGATGCTGCGAGGGCTGCTAGAGAGAAGGAGAGGGAGAGGGAGCGGGAGAAGGAGAGGGAGAGGGAGAGGGAGAGGGAGCGGGAGGAGAGGGAGAGGGAGAGGCAGAGGCAGAGGGAGAGTGAGAAGCAGCGGGAGGAGGAGAGGGAAGCGGCGAGACAGCAGCAGCAGCGAGCGCAAGAAGCCAAGAGCAGAGCCTCGGTGAGTGGGCGCTGGTGCTTCAGCTGCGGCTGGTGCTGCTGTCGTTGGATGGTGTGGTGTGGTGTGGTGTGGTGTGAGGGTGGATGTTAGTTGCTGGGTGGATGGTCCGATGCTGTACCTGTTTGCTCCTGATTTCAGACAGTCATCTCATGGGTACAACATCACAGCTTCGCCTCTGTATTTTGGCATTGCTCTCAATGGGTTTTTGGTTTTCTTCCCCTCCATATCTTTGAGCCTTTTGAGAGACGTCTCAAAAGCCGTTTGGGACGTCTGAAAAAAAATGGCATTGCTCTCAATGGGGGATCCTTACTCCCTTTTTTCCCTTCATATCCTCGAGGAGCCTTCTCCGTTCTTCAAATCTCTCTCGCTCTCTCTCCTCTCCCGCTCGCCCCACCTTTGAGGCGCCTCAAAAGTCATCTCTCTCTCTCTCGCCCCCTCTCCTCTCCCCTTCGCCCGACCCATGTTCAGCAACCAGCGCCGCCAAAGCAGCAGCCGTCTTCAGCCGACGATTGGGCCGACATTCTCGGTATGTTATGTTCTTCTCATTCTTGGTGCATTCCCATCCCATCGTCCTGCTCTTCCCTCTTCCGCACCCTCTCTTCCACTACCCATGTACCCCTCCCCCACTTTCCCCCTTCCCCCCTCCCTCTTCTCCTTTCCCTCTCTTGCTTCTCATCTCGTCATGCCCTCTTCCTTTTTATCTCGTTCCTTTCTTTCTTTTCTGTCACTCTCTCTTCATTTCCCTCTCTTCCTTTCCTCCCTCTGTCCCTCCCCGTCCGCTCCTCTCCTACTCATCCTCTGCTTCTCACACCATCTATTGCCACCTCACCATCAAGACCAACTCTTCTCTTGTTCCCTTTCATTTTCATTCCCAAACCCATTCTCTCCCCTCCTCTCTCTTCTCCCTACCTCTGCCCCAAATCCAACTCATCCTCTGCTTCTCACAGCATCTATTTCCACCTCACCATCAAGACCAACTCTCCCAATCTTGTTTTCTTCTGTTCTCATTCTCGTAACTCATTCTCTCCCCTCCTCTCCCTTCTCCCTACCTCTGCCCCAACTCCACCTCATCCGTTCCCCGCTCACGCATCCCCTTCCCATGAGCACCACAGGGGGAGGCGGGGGAGGGGGAGGAGGCGGCGGAGGGGCAGCAGCAGGTGCGCGGGTGGGTGGGGGAAGTCGGCTGGACGAGTTTCAGGAGGTGGAGGGGGAGAGCGAGGAGCGCCGGCAGCTGCGGTATGAGCGGTTTCAGCGCCTGCAGGAGAGAGCGGTGAGTGGGGTTGAAAAGTTGGGAGGGGGGGGGGTGGGGGGCAGGGAGGGGTGCAGGGAGGGGCGCAGGGAGGGGTGCAGGGAGGGGCGCAGGGAGGGGCGCAGGGAGGGGCGCAGGGAGGGGTGCAGGGAGGGGCGCAGGGAGGGGTGCAGGGAGGGGCGCAGGGAGGGGTGCAGGGAGGGGCGCAGGGAGGGGTGCAGGGAGGGGCGCAGGGAGGGGTGCAGGGAGGGGCGCAGGGAGGGGTGCAGGGAGGGGCGCAGGGAGGGGCGCAGGGAGGGGCGCAGGGAGGGGTGCAGGGAGGGGCGCAGGGAGGGGTGCAGGGAGGGGCGCAGGGAGGGGTGCAGGGAGGGGCGCAGGGAGGGGTGCAGGGAGGGGCGCAGGGAGGGGTGCAGGGAGGGGCGCAGGGAGGGGCGCAGGGAGGGGCGCAGGGAGGGGTGCAGGGAGGGGCGCAGGGAGGGGTGCAGGGAGGGGCGCAGGGAGGGGCGCAGGGAGGGGCGCAGGGAGGGGTGCAGGGAGGGGCGCAGGGAGGGGTGCAGGGAGGGGCGCAGGGAGGGGTGCAGGGAGGGGCGCAGGGAGGGGTGCAGGGAGGGGCGCAGGGAGGGGTGCAGGGAGGGGCGCAGGGAGGGGCGCAGGGAGGGGCGCAGGGAGGGGTGCAGGGAGGGGCGCAGGGAGGGGTGCAGGGAGGGGCGTTAAGATGGGTGATGGTGAGAGAGTGGAGCGTGGGGCCCGCTTGGAGGGACGGGGCACAAGCATGGATGCAGGATGGCAGGGGTGCAGGGATGGGCGCAGGGACGGGCCCAGGGAGAGCAGGGGCGCAGGGGGGGCATGGGCGCAGGGGGGCAGGGGCGCAGGGGGGGCAGGGGCGCAGGGGGGGCAGGGGCGCAGGGGGGGCAGGGGCGCAGGGGGGTCAGGGGCGCAGGGGGGGGCAGGGGCGCAGGGAGGGCAGGGGCGCAGGGGGTCAGGGGCGCATGGGGGGGCAGGGGCGCAGGGGGGGCAGGGGCGCAAGGGGGGCAGGGGCGCAGGGGGGGCAGGGGCGCAGGGATGGCGGGCGCAGGGATGTGAGCTCCTTCTGCATATCTCCTTTGAGAATTCTCAAAAGTGCTCTCCTGTCCCATCTTTCCCCCTCCCCTCTCCTTCATCTTCCCACCTCTGCTTTTTGAGGCGCCGCAACTGTGCACCTAAGAGGGCTCATCTCTCTTTCTTTATAACCCCTGAGCTCTCCTTTTCCCACCGTCTTCCCCTTTCCTTCATCTTCCCACCTCTGCTGTCCCCCTTTTCCCTCTTTCAATCTCATCCACCCCCCGCTCCCCCTTCCCCCCGCCCGCCCTTTCCCCACGGTTTCGGTTTCCCTCTCTCCCGTTGTCCCGCATACTCTCTCCTTTTCCTTGCGTCGTTCAACTTTGGCCTTTCTCCTCGCCCACACTTAGCGTCCCTTCTTCTCCTTCCACGCCTCCACCTCATCTGCCCCTTTTCTCCTCTCCCTCCCGTCTCCTTACCGGCTCCCCTTCCTCCTGTGCGCCCCGTACACATCCCCCCTCTTCCCCCCGTCCGCCCTTCCCCCTCCCTTCCCCCTCCCTTCCCCCCATCTGCCCTTCCCCCCTCCTTCCCCCCGTCCGCCCTCCATTCCCTCCCCCCCTCCCCCCGTCTGCCCTTCCCTCCCCCCCTCACCCCGTGCCCCCATGGCAGGCGGCAGCGCTGGACGAGAAGAAGAAGCGAGACATGGACGTGCTGAAGGAACAGGAGGACAGACACGTGAGTGGAGAGGGGTTGGGATGGGTTGTGAATGGTTGGGTGGTTGGATGGTTGGATGGCTGAAGGCACCATGGGCAGGCGGCAGCGCTGGACAAGAAGAATAAGCGAGACATGGACGTGCTCAAGGAACAGGAGGACAGACACGTGAGCGGGGTGGTGAGGGGTGCTGAGTGGTTTATAGGTAGTGGTAGGGGGGTTCGAGACATGGACATGTTCAAGGAGCAGGAGGACCGACACGTGAGTGAGGGGAGGGGAGGGGTGGTGAGTAGTTGGATAGTTGAAGGGAGGAATGAGAATGCGACATGGTTTTTCTCAAGGAGCAAGAGGACTGGCACGTGAGAGACAGGTTGGGAAAGGTGAGGTGGTTGATGGGTGGTGGATGGGTGAATTATGAGATGGTTTGAGTGGTGTGTAGGTGATGTGCGGTCAACAAGTCCAAGGGAACCCCACTTAGGAGGCATGACTTTGCGTGGTAGCAGCTAGAATTTCTGTTGCACTAGTAGGCTTGCTTCAAGACATTTGTGTAGAATAGATGGGGGTAATTAGTTTTGGCTTTGAGCCTTGTTCAGACCATGAGAAAGGGTAGGTGGGTGATGGGTGGTGGATGGGTGAATTATGAGATGGTTGGAGTGGGTGATGTGCGGTTAACAAGAGACGATGCTGGGAGTGTGAAGATGGTACAAGGATGTGGTTTCTTTGCGATGTATATAGTCTTTGCGATGTATGTAGTGTGTCATGTGGTTTCGTTGTGGTGTCCAGCATCCCAGCAGGAGAAGGAAGAAGAGCGTACATATGACGCTCAATTTTTGAGTCGACTCAAAAATCGACTTATCACTCCCAGCAGGAGAAGGAAGAAGAGCGTACATATGACGCTCAATTTTTGAGTCGACTCAAAAATCGACTTATCACTCCCAGCAGGAGAAGGAAGAAGAGCGTACATATGACGCTCAATTTTTGAGTCGACTCAAAGATTGACTTATCACTCCCAGCAGGAGAAGGAAGAAGAGCGTACATATGACGCTCAATTTTTGAGTCGACTCAAAAATCGACTTATCACTCCCAGCAGGAGAAGGAAGAAGAGCGTACATATGACACTCGTGGCTGCACGTTTGGTCGAACGCTAGCTACCTCGTCCCCCCCTCCTTCCCTTGTTATTCCTCTTCCAGAAAGCGGGGGAGAAGTTGGATATTGAAATCATACGGCGGTATAAATCTGTAGCAGAAGACCACAATGGAACCTTTTTCTCTTTCCCCCACCTCCCTTTTTATTCCTCTTTCAGAAAGTGGGTGAGATGTTGGATATTGAGATTAAGCGGCGTTTAGATTGTAGCAGGGGACCACAATGGTAAAACCTTTTCTCTTCCCCTCCCCTCCCTTCCCCTCCCCTTCCCATCCGCTCCCTTCCCATCCCTTCCCATCCCCTCCTTTCCCCTCCCTCCTCCAGAAAGCCGGCGAGATGTTGGATGTTGAGATCAAGCGGTGGTAGAAATTCCCAACAGGCCCCAACTTCCCCCCCCATCTGCCCACCTCTTTTCCCGCCCCCGCTCCTCCTTCCCCCTCCAGAAAGCGGGCGAGATGTTGGATATCGAGATCAAGCGGTGGGCAGCCGGCAAGGAGGGCAATCTGAGGGCGCTGCTCTCCACTCTGCAGTTTGTGAGTGCCTTGGGTGTGCCTTGGGTGTGCCTTGGGTGTGCCTTGGGTGTGCCTCGGGTGTGCCTCGGGTGTGCCTCGGTTGTGCCTTGGGTGTGCCTTGGGTGTGCCTTGGGTGTGCCTTGGGTGTGCCTTGGGTGCTAACCCCTTTGGGTTACCTTAAGTTGTATTGTCCTGTAAGTGCCTCGCTGCTCTCCCCACTGCAGTTTGTGAGTGCCCTGCGTCTTGGGCTCCTGTCTTTGACCCCCATCATTCACCCTAGCCCTTCCTCCCTCCCTCCCTCCCTCCCTCCCTCCCTCCCTCCCTCTTACCACCCCTCCTCCCCCAGGTGCTGTGGCCTGAGTGCAAGTGGGAGCCGGTGGCGCTCACGGACATCATCAGGTGGGTGGCTTCACATGTGCTGTGTGGGGCTGGCAGGGCGGCAGGGCATGTGCTATGGGGAATGGGTGCTGCTTTGACGCGCATGGCAGCAGGGGGTGCAAGTGCAAGTGGGAGCGTGTGGCGCTCACAGACATTATCAGGTGGGTGGGTGGCTTCACATGTGTGTGTGGGGCTGCCTGGCATGAGGCATGGGGCGTGGTGCTGCTGGTTTGACGCATGAAAGCGAGGGATGCAAGTGGGAGCGTGGGATGCGTGTGGGAGCGTGTGTGTGTGTGTGTGTGTGTGTGTGTGTGTGTGTCTGTGTGTGTGTGCGTGCGTGCGTGCGTGCGTGCGTGCGTGCGTGCGTGCGTGCATGCGTGCGTGCGTGCGTGCGTGCGTGCGTGCGTGCATGCGTGCGTGCGTGTGTGTTGAGGATTGGGTTTGCAGAGCATGGGTTGATGGGATTCGTTGTGCATGCAGAAGTGTTGTTCTGCTGCCTCGTTGCTGTTTCTGCCCATCCACATACCTACCCATCCACATACCTACCCATCCGCCCATCCCCTACCTGCCCCTCCCTCACATATCCACCTTTCCACCTACCCAGATACGAACCCTCCCACGTCCTCACCTGCCAACTCTCCCAAGCTTCTTCCCACGTAAATCATGTGTGCCCCCCCTCCCCTCCACCCTCCCGTCCACCCTCCCATCCGCCCTCCCATCCGCCCTCCCATCCGCCCTCCTATCCACCCTCCCATCCACCCTCCCCTCCGCCCTCCTATCCACCCTCCCATCCGCCCTCCCATCCGCCCTCCTATCCACCCTCCCATCCACCCTCCCCTCCGCCCTCCCATCTGCCCTCCCATCCATCCTCCCATCCACCATCCCACCCTCTTATCTCCCATCCATCCTGCAGTACGGAGGCAGTGAGGAAGGCATACGGCAAGGCAGCACTGTGTGTGCATCACGTGTGCATACCCTCCCGTCCACCCTCCTCCTTCCCCCCTCCCCTCCCCCTGCAGTGCGGCGGCAGTGAAGCAGGCGTATTGCAAAGTTTGCTTCATGTGTGCGCACCCTCCCACCCACCCTCCCTCCCTCTCCTCCGGCAGTGCAGCAGCAGTGAAGAAGGCATACCGCAAGGCAGCTCTGCATGTGCATCCTGTATGCCCACCTGCCCTCCCTCCCTCCCTCCCGCCCTCCCGCCCCCCCATCCTTTCCCTCCCCGGCAGTGCGGCAGCAGTGAAGAAGGCGTATCGCAAGGCAGCGCTGTGTGTGCATCCGGACAAGGTGCAGCAGAAGGGTGCTACAGTGCAGCAGAAATACATTGCCGAGAAGGTGTTTGACCTGCTCAAGGTGCGTGCCATGCCATGTGCACTTAGTCTGAGTTGACTTTTGACTTAAAAGTCAACGAGGTGCAGCAGAAGTACATAGCTGAGAGAGTCTTTGACCGGCTCAGGGTGCATGCCACGCTGCGTGTTGTTTCTCCTCTTATCGAGCACTACACTTTGTTACTGCATATTACATTTCATAATAATTGTGATTTTCCACGTGGAGCTCTGTACTTTGCTACATCATGACTTTATTTTTGCTTGAACTTCAGGAGGCGTTTAACAAGTTCAACTCGGAGGAGCTGTTTTGAGGCATTGCATCGTACTATGGGTTGCAACCTGCGTTTTATGTGTATTGAATCGGATACTATATATCATCAGAGTTGCTTGCAGTTACTAGGTCACCTCTTCTCCTGGCTAAACATGATTTAAATACGGTATTTGTGAACTTTCCTGTAAATTGCACGCTAGGTCTCTGCGAAAAAAAACGCTTGGGAATTGTCTTTGTGCACAAAACCAGAGCAATTTGATGCTGTAGGACGCCATGTTATTTACGTTGTAGTATGGTTCATGCGTTGTTTGATGCGTCCTCAACTGCGCTAGGAGAAGGCTCTTGAGCGGATATCCAGTCACATGCATGATCTACGGAATCTTTGCCACGTTGCGCTGTAACCCCAACTTCCTGATCAGACGGACAGGAGGTCGTGATATTGGATGCTCGCGGCGCGTAGAGCCTTCTGCTCATTTCATGCGAATTTTTTTTTTAATTTCCTCTCACAGCTTTTTGCTCATTTCATTTGAGACTAAACGCTATTTTAATGTAGTTGGTTGACAGCAAATATGCTTATTTTTTGATCGATTTCCTTTGGGTGCGAGTGCATTTTCTTTCCTTGCTGTGCCTGGCCAAGAAGCTGGCCTCGTTCCAACCTGATGAGGTGGCGTAGCGCCTTCCAGCTCATCACCTCGTCCACATGCCTGTGCCCACCGCCCCGTCCCGCCATGCGTGTTTCTCACCCCTCGCCTAACCTCTCCAGAATGGACGCATGAGCCCAATCCGCAAGCATTTGCGGAGTCAGCCTCAACCCTCCCCGCACCGCAGCCCAGTCAGCTTCCCCATTTCTGCTTCATCTCGCCGAGTCAGCCCGCCCGTGTGCCCCATTTGCCGCCTCCTCTCCTCGTGCTCTCCCAGTCAGCCCTCCCCCACCGACTTGTGCCCATTGTCCTTCCCCCCTGCCCGCCTGGTTGCCCAGCCCAGTCAGCCCAGCGCGTCATGCGCAACTGTCACTACCACCTCTCCGCAAAGTCCGCCAACCGCCTCCGACTGAACCACCTGCACAGCGGGGAAGCTCTCTTGTGCTTACACGTAAGGCATGCCTTTCACTCGCAGCTCGGACCATTCTCACACGTAAGCCCTAATTTATTCGTTTTCCTGATTTGAGCCAAGGTTGCCTCCTTTCTGGTCCTGAGTTCTCCAAGAGCAGCCGAGCCGCGCTGCGATCTGTCGTAGTCTTGGTGTGTCCCGGGTTTTCGAAGCTCGAGGATTACTGCCAAGGAAGAATCTGTTCGTTGGAAAAGCGTCGTCGAAATTCGAGTCGTCATCTCCTGCGCCTGTTATGGGATCGACTGACGTAGGTGTAGCGGCAAACGCGATGAGTAAGGTAGCGCTAATTTTCGATCGCTACTTACTTACCGATCATTCTTTGATTCTTTTGTTGTTGTTTTTATTATTCCCTTTTATTTTGCTATTACTTCTATTTGCCGTTCATGTGCCGTGTCTTTTTTGTCCGAGCAAGCCATTTTCGTATTATTCCCCATTCCTCCTTCGCCTTCACGCCTACAACTCACTCCCTTCGACCGCGTCGCGTTCTTTCAACCATAATTTATTCTCCGTCGTGGTGCGTTGTCTCACGACCGATTATTTATCCCGCCATCGCAGGAAGCGCAAGGATATGGCAAGGATCAACAGATGCCGGCAGGCTACCCCGACTGGGCAGCGGCTTTCCAGGTAACGTAGTCGGGTTACCCCGATGAGGGTAACCTCACGCGTGTAACCAGTATCCATCCGCTCGTATAAGGCGCCCCGAGAGTGCATGTAACCTTAACCGCATGTAGCCAGTCTCTTTCCTGAGTTACCAGCTGTTACCAGCAACTACTCGCCGTAGCAGCCACAGGTTATCAGTGTTACCAGTCGTAACCAGCCACCACTAGCGATCGCCAGCTGTGGTAACCAGCTTCAGGCGCCCCTTGCGGCAGTAGCAAGCGACCCTTATAGAGAAGTCCGAGCCTTCAGTTGACGCGTTTTGAGCTTCGGGCTCGCTCGTTCTGTCCACACCCCTTCGAGCTAGGAGCTATGACTAGTTTACCTGTAGCAAAATTGCATGTCGCATCCTTTTGCCGATTTCGAATGCCCCTCTACGGCCGCATTGAGCAAGCTACTTTCTGGAGCAGTCCGCGCCTGCAATCGGCGCCTTTTGTGAGCTCGAAGCTGCGATCGGTGCACCCGTTGCGGGATGGCATGCCTCGTCTACCTTAGAAGCCCCTCTGTGCTCGTTTGTAGGCGAAGGTCGAACTCGCCACACTTGGCCACGGGTGGCCTAATTGCGGCTCGGCGCGCGACGCGTTGCCGGGCTGCCGTCATGCGCGTGCCGTCATGCGCGTGCCGTCATGCGCGTGCCGTCATGCGCGTGCCGTCATGCGCGTGCCGTCATGCGCGTGCCGTCTCCTCCTGATCATGCCACCCTCAGCATGCTTCCCCATCAGTCGCACGCATGCGGTGCTCCCCCATCCGCGGCGCGCCTGGCGTTGCGCGTCCTTATCCTTCTCCCGTCCCCGTGTGTGTGTGCGTGTCCGTGCGCCCGTTCCCCGCCCCCTCGTGTGCGCGTGTGCCCCCGCGTGTGTGCGCCATGCCTTGATCCCCGCCAGGCATATGGCCAGGCATATGGCCAGGCGGGGCAACCACCGCCGGGGTATTACGCCAAGCCAATTGCTGTTCCCTCAACCCATCCCCATCTTCTCATCCTCTCACCCCCGCGTGTCCCCCCCCCCCCCGCGTGTCCCCCCCCCCGCGTGTGCGCCGTGCCTTGATCCCCGCCAGGCGTACTACGGCCAGGCGGGGCAGCCACCGCCCGGATACTACCCCGCAGCAGCCGCCGCTCCCCAGCACCACCCCTACATGTGGGGGCAGGTGCGTGCTCTGCCGCCGCTCCCCACCAACACCCCCGTTCCCCCATTTCCTCGCCTCCCCACCACCACCCCCGTTCCCCCATTTCCTCGCCTCCCCACCACCACCCCGTTCCCCTCTGGGACTGACGGCGCTGGGACTGACGGCACTTGCGTCGCCACCTACTGTTTCCTTCTCCTTTACCTGTCTCCCCTCTCCCTTCTGCTTCCGCTCTACATCTCACCTTCCCCTCCCATCCCCTCCACCGGTCTATTCACTCTCTCATCTCCTCCCGCCCCCCTCCCTTCGCTCCTGCTGTATCTCACCCCCCTTCCGTCAAACAGCACATGACGGTGCCCTACAGCTCACCTTCTCCCTGCCTCCCCCCTACCTTCCCCCTGCCTCCCCCCTACCTCCCCACTCTTCTACCCGTTCCCCCTTCCCTCTCTTTCCCCATTCCCCCCCCCCCCCCCCCTCCTGCCTCTCCCCCCTCCCCTCTCGCCCCCCTCCCCTCTTTCCCCCCTCCCCTCTCTCCGCCCTACCCTCTCTCCCCCCTCCCCTGTCTGCCCCATCCCCTCTCTCCCCCTCTCCTCTCTCCCCCATCCCCTCTCTCTCCCCTCCCCCCTCTCCCCCCTCCGTTTCTCCCCCCTCCGCCTCTCCCCCATCCCCCCCAGCAGCATATGATGGCGCCCTACGGCCAGCCTCCCCCCTATGCCGCCCCCATGTATCCCCCTGCTGCCATGTACCCGGTAAGAGCTGATTCGATACAGGTATCCCTGTTCCCGTCAAGAGGTCTGCTGTCATGTAGCCTATATGAAGTGGGTTACTCTCGTCTCCTTTCCATGCAGTCATGTAGCCTATATGAAGTGGGTTACTCTCGTCTCCTTTCCATGCAGTCATGTAGCCTATATGAAGTGGGTTACTCTCGTCTCCTTTCCATGCAGTCATGTAGCCTATATGAAGTGGGTTACTCTCGTCTCCTTTCCATGCAGTCATGTAGCCTATATGAAGTGGGTTACTCTCGTCTCCTTTCCATGCAGTCATGTAGCCTATATGAAGTGGGTTACTCTCGTCTCCTTTCCACTTCCTCCACTTCCCTCCCCACTTCCCTCACTTCCCTCCCCACTTCCCTCACTTCCCTCCCCACTTCCCTCACATCCCTCCCCACTTCCCTCACATCCCTCCCCACTTCCCTCACTTCCCTCCCCACTTCCCTCACTTCCCTCCCCACTTCCCTCACTTCCCTCCCCACTTCCCTCACTTCCCTCCCCACTTCCCTCACTTCCCTCCCCACTTCCCTCACTTCCCTCCGCACTTCTCTCCGCACTTCCCTCATCGCATCTCTCCCTCCCTCTTCTCATCTCTCCCTCCCTCTTCTCCCAGTCTGATCCTCCCACCTCTTGTTACCGTTCCATACTTCTGTTCCATCTATCCCGTTAAAAGCAGGGCGCGCAGCCCTATATGGGGTACGGCATGCCATCAGCTACCGCAGCCGCAATGGATGCTTCCTCGGTATGAATGCAACAACTATGGAGTGTACTGTGTATGTGAACGGAGTGTAAAGTGTATGGAGTGTAACGTTTATGTAGTGTAAAGTGTATGGAGTGTAACGTTTATGTAGTGTAAAGTGTATGGAGTGTAAAGTGTATGGAGTGTAAGTAACACACATGGAGTTCGAGCTGGTTCATAGCTGGGAACCCCGTCGTCACCATGAGTGGTAACCCGATGAGCATGTGTATGTGGTAACCCGATCTGCATGTGTATGTGGTAACCCGATCTGCATGTGACCAGCATTCCCATTGTTTTGTCACAGTGACACTCATCCCTTGTTGCTCCCACTTCCCCTTCACAATCCCCCCCCCCCCCCCTTACCCTTCCCTTTCTCTCACCTCCCCTTCCTCTGCCCATCGCTCCCCGTTCCCCCTTCCCAAGCAGAGCCGCCAGGCATATGCCGTTCGTGGCAATGCACGCGTAGCAGAGGGAAGGGGGGGGCAGTGACGCGCCTTCATTTTTGTGCCCGCCATCTCTCCCCCCCCCTCCCTCCCTCCACTCCCCCTCATCCTCTTCCCCCTTCCCAAGCAGTGCCGCCAGGCATGCCTTCAATGGCAATGCACGCGGAGCAGAGGGAGAGGGGGGGGCCGAGCCAGGGTTAAAAAAAACGACCGTTTTTTTGAAAATTTACCGTAAAAAACGGTATCATAAAAAACGGTCGTTAAAAACGGTTTAAAACGGTTCCAGGAGGTGTTTCCTGATTAACTAACAAAACGGCCACTTAGTGGGACCAAATTGAACCCGAAATGCAGCAGCATGAAGGGGACGGACCCCTTCTTGCATGTACGCGCTTGTTGGCATGAGTGAAAATGTTTTTGAACTTGTTTTTGTGAAAAACGACCGTAAAAAACGAACCGTATTTTACGAAAACCGTAATTTTGATCCTTGGGCCGAGCCGAGGCACGCTTTCATTCTTGTGCCCGCCTTCCCATCCCCTCCCCTTCCCCTCCCCGTCCCCCTCCCCTTCCCCGTCCGCATCCCCTCCCTCTTCCCGCTCCTCCCCAGGCCATGGCGCCTGGCATGCCGCCAGTGGCAATGCACGCGGAGCAGAGAGATGGGGGAGGGGCGGGCCAATCATTCCTTCCCCCCCGTTTCCTTCCCCCTCCCCCCATTGCTCCCCGTTCCTCTCTCCCCCCATTGCTCCCCGTTCCTCTCTCCCCCCATTGCTCCCCGTTCCTCTCTCCCCACAATGCTCCCCTTCCCCAGGCCATGGCGCCTGGCATGCCGCCAGTGGCGATGCACGCGGAGCGCAGGGACGGGGACAAGTGACATGCCTTTATTCTTGTGCCCACCTTCCCTTCCCCCCCACCCGTCCCCCTCCCTTCCCCCCCACCCGTCCCCCTCCCTTCCCCCGTCCCCATCCTCCCTCCGCCTCCCCTCCCCCTTCCCTCTCATCCCCTTTCCCCCCTTCCCAGGCCATGGCGCCTGGCATGCCACCAGTGGCGATGCACGCGGATCAGAGGGATGGGGGAGGGGCGGCGGGAGCAGCAGGCGGGGGGGCTGCAGGGGGAGGGGGGCGGAGTGGGGGAAGATGGAGGGGGCGCGAAGGCTGGGGAAGGGGGGGCTATGGGTGCAGGGGGAGGGGGAGGGGAGGGGGAGGGGGAGGCGGAGGGGGGGTGGGGCTGGGGGGCGGGATGACGTCAGAGGGGTCGAAGCTGCAGTCAGGGAATGGCGTGTTCTCCACCAGGTGTGTGCAGGGGTGGAGAGGGGTGTGGATGGGTGGGTGTGGGGGTGAGTAGGGATAATGGGTGGGTGAATGGGGGGTTGGGGAGGGGTGATGGGTGAGAGAGTGGGTGGGGGGATGAGGAGGGGTGGGTGAGGGGATGAGGGGTGGGTGGGTTCAGAAATGGAGATCTCATCTGATATGGAAATCAGATAGCTTTTTTGAGGCTCTTCAAAAATTCGATAGCATTTTCTCCTGTTGTACGTCTTTGTCGGGTTCATAATTGGCGCTCGTACTCGTTACAAGGAACTCTTGAAGGCCTTCTCTTTTCTTGGACCCTGCATGGTGTCACCTACCCTCTCACCCTCACTCGTCCACTCTCACTCTCACTCACTCATCCACTCTCACTCTCACTCATCCACTCTCACTCTCACTTGTCCACTAAATCTCCCTCATGCCCTCGTCCACTCTATCTCTCTCTCCCTCCTGCTCTCGCCCGCCCATGCACTCACTCACTCACTCACTCACTCACCCTTCCCAATCCCACCCCATTCTCGTCATTTCTCCTCACCCCGTTTTGTTGTCAACGCGTGGTGGTGTGTTTCAGTGGAGGGGAGGATGATTCGGAGGAGGACGAGGGCACGGATCATAATGAGGTGGGTGCTGCTGCCGCTGTGTTGTGTAGTGTGCGATGGTGCCTTAGCTTCGGGCTATCATGCATGCAATGAAGGTGGTGTGATGATGATGGGAGGGGAGGATGAGATGATTCGGAGGAGGACGAGGGTACCGATCATAATGAGGTGAGTGCTACTGCCGCATTGCATGATGATGCCATGATGATGCCATGATGATGCCATGATGATGCCATGATGATGCCATGATGGTGCCATGATGATGCCATGATGATGCAATGATGATGCAATGATGATGCCATGATGATGCCACGATGATGCCACGATGATGCCACGATGATGCCACGATGATGCCACGATGATGCCATGATGATGCCATGATGATGCCATGATGATGCCATGATGATGCCATGATGATGCCATGATGATGCCACGATGATGCCACGATGATGCCACGATGATGCCACGATGATGCCACGATGATGCCACGATGATGCCACGATGATGCCACGATGATGCCACGATGACGCCTTGATGACGCCATGATGACGCCATGATGACGCCATGATGACGCGATGATGACGCGATGATGACGCGATGATGATGCCATGATGATGCCATGATGATGCCATGATGATGCCATGATGATGCCATGATGATGCCATGATGATGCCATGATGATGCCACGATGATGCCACGATGATGCCACGATGATGCCATGATGATGCCACGATGATGCCACGATGATGCCACGATGATGCCACGATGATGCCATGATGATGCTACAGATAGAGAGGGCAGCAGGAACCCAACGATGTCCTTAGGTGACATGCAATGAAAACTCTTGGTTCTTCGAGGTGTATTTTGAGGTGCCTCAAAATACACCTCCCTTGTTCTATACCCTCCCCTCCACTCGCCCTTCCTCTCTCCCCTCCTCACCTTCTTCCCCACGGCCTTTCCCCTTTCTGCAGGAAGGGGGGGGCGCTGGCGGGAAGGCAGGGGAAGCGGGGGAAATGGGGGAAATGGTGCCCATAGACTACTGGTCCGCGCAAGCCAAGGCCCAGGCGCAAGCTCAGGCGCAAATGCACCAAGCAGCAACAGCTGCTGCAGCAGCGGGGCAGATGGGGCCGGGGGGGCAGGGGGTGGGCATGGCAGGCGGAATGGGGGGGATTCCGGGGGTGGGGGCGGGCGGAGGGGCGGCAGGGGCGGCAGGGGGAGCTGGGGGGATGGTTGGTGGGGGGATGGGTGCTGCTGCTGGTGGCAGTAGCGGTGGGGGTGGTGCTGGGGGCGCGGGGGGAGCGGGGGCAGGGAAGAAGCGGGGTGCGGTGACGGGGGGAGGAGGGGGAGGGATGGGGATGACGTCAGACTTATGGGTGCACTCTGTGAGTCTCTTTTCCCCTAAACCCTCACTCCTCCTTTTCCCTCCTTCATTCTCTGAGCCGTTTTTTTTTTTTCCCCACTCCCACTCTCATTTCCCCTCCCTCACTATGTGCGTGCGTCTCTTTCCCTTTTGGCATGGTAGACGAAGGTGCAAATACCCATCAGGTGGATGTAATCTATAGACATTTCCTCCATCTTCCCCACGTGCTCATATGCTGTTATTTCCCCGCCCTCCTCCCCCCCTCTTCCCCCCTTCCCCCCCCCATTCTCTCTCTCTGTGCAAACAGGACGACCGCGAGGTGAAGAAGCAGCGGCGCAAGCAGTCCAACAGAGAGTCGGCACGGCGGTCCCGGCTGCGCAAGCAGGTGCGTGGCGAGGGGGTAAGGGTGGGAAATTGCCCGAGTGTGAGGATCTGATGGGGCGGGCGCGGACGATCCAAGGAGGATCTGGTGTCCTCTGTTCCGCAACCTCTCCCTCTTGTCTCTGCCGTCCCTGGCTGCCAATCTCTTCACTGACCCCTCTCCCTTCCACCCCCTCCCCCCCCCTCCCCCCTCCAGGCGGAGTGTGAGGACCTGATGGGGCGGGTGCGGGCGCTGACGGAGGAGAATCAGACGATTCGAGTGGAGCTGCAGCGCATGCAGGAGGAGTGCCACAAGATGGCGCAGCAGAATGCGTTGCTGCAGGTGAGTGGGCCCTTGGGTCTGTGGGCAGGTGATGGGTGGTGGGATGGGTGGGTGGGTGAGGGCCACGTGGCTGTTGAGCTGCAGCGCATGCAGGAGGAGTGCCACAAGATGGCGCAGCAGAACGCGCTCCTGCAGGTGTGTGGATGGGTGGGTGGGACCAAGTGGTGGGTAGCTGCAGCACATGCAGTAGGAGTGCCACAAGATGGTGCAGCAGAATAATTATTAATGATTATGCTGTACTTTTTTCGTCTCTCCCCGTGCCCATCCACTCCATAAATGGAGTCCTGCCCTATACGTATCCATCCGCTCCGTCCCACTCCATCCATCCCCTCCACTCATCCATGAGTGGATGAGTGGACGGGTAAACAAGTGGTCCACTCCACTGAACCACCTGTTTCCCCATCCACTCATCCACTCATCCACTCCATCCCACTCTATTCAACCCCATTCCACTCCATTCCACTCCACCCCACTCCATCCACTCTCAGGAGCGGCTGAACGGCACCAAGGCAGTGCCAGGCGGTCCCTCCACACACCCTGCCGCCGCCCTCCCTCTGCCACCACACATGCCACCAGATGCATCCGCAGCCGTTGATCCTTCTGGAGCTGCAATGCCATTGGCCGGTGGGCCTGACGGTGATGTGAATGGTGCGCTAGTGCCTGTAGGTCAGCAGCAGTTGCAGCAGGGAGGGGCGGGGGGAGGGGTGTTAGCAGGTAATGGAGGTGGGCATGGAGGGGAGGGGTTAGGTGCTGCAGGTGCTGCTGTTGGAGCAGCAGCAGGGAGGTTACGGCAGGGGAGCGAAAAGAATAATGTTGTGCCTGCTGTTTCATAAAATTGGTCGGGTAGTGAAGAATAATTCGCAGTTTATTAATAGAGGAAACTTAGGTGTTAGAAATCGTGCAGTGATTGGTCAGAAATTTATTCCAATAGCTTCTAGCTTACCAAATTTGCACACTTCTCCACGTGTTAGTTACCCTCCCAAAGGGCAATCGCGCAACAGCAGCAACCTACCGGTACACTTATCACAATATGCACAATTCAAACATCTCGGCTTTTGCAAACCGAGACACAAAAAATGACACCATCAACGCACTATTATGCCACAGGAGGCGTCAATAACCGTTCTGCTGATGCATCAGCCATGTCAGACGGGAGCCATTGCCACATCGCCATATGCTGGTGGTGAGGCAGCCGCACGGCTTCAACCTTGACAGGTGTTTCATGTGCTAGGTGTGGTGCGTGCGTCGCTGTTTGCGACTGCAAAACTACACCTGACGACTGGCTTAAAAAACCGTTGGTCCTGGTGAGAGCTGTGAGGGTATCGAGGTGCATCCGCAGACGATCCCGCTCAGCTTTCAAGCGAGATTTCTCCTCTCTCAGTTCGCATTTCTCAACCTGTACGTGGGAAGAGAAAGAGCCGTTACACCTCAGTGGTATTCATAGAGAGCAAAAGAGCGCAAACCAAACCACGGTGCGATTTCGAAAAGCGATACGAAAAATTCAAGGCAAACAAGCTTAATTTGATCCTGAAGCTGCTGGTTACTCGTCAACAAGCTTGCGGCTTCAGTCCTCAAATGGACAAGCAGCCGGACAGCTTCCGTCAGAAGGACCGCCTTATCCACCTTGACGGTTGCCGACGGACCAAGCTCCCTTGCAAGTTCTTGAAATCTGCGACGGACCAAGGGTGGCGAGAACAAACATACGAAGTCTTTCAACACGCTGCCGATGGACTACCGCCGACGACTGCGGAAGTGAAGGTGTGGAACAAAGGACGGCCACGTGCAAGCGATTGAATCAAAGATGGACTGCGTGCGAAGCGATTGGAGACAGGATCGATAAACGGTACCTGTCGTTTAATCTATCGCGTCTCAACTTCTCCCTGGTGGCTTTGCTAAAGATAACTTCTCTCTCGCTAGCACCATCTTCTCGAACCCTGCACGAGAAAAGGCGACAAGGAAGGGCAAGCAGTAAGAAAAATGAGTCCAGTGTGTAAACCCTTCCTGGCTAAAACACGCAGCAACGGAAAACATCTCACCGTTTTCTAGAAGGCGGTAAGCCGTCGTTCGAATGTTGTCTAGCAGCGGAGTCTGGACTGCAGAGGCAACGCACACGAATAACGCAGCAGGAGTGATGACAGTGAGTCATTACAATCTACAGGCACAATTTCAGCGTGGCCGACATCAGAATAAGGGTCAAATAGGGGAACAGATCATATGGCCATCATGTCCGTGTATATGCTGACCTTCTCTCAAGCCTGTCTTGTGATTGCCACGTGGGACCAAGCGAGAGGGCACAGTCTGCTAGATTGAGTGAACGGGGCGAATCCATTGCGGGACGTCGACCACTGTCGTGAATGGTGAACCGGATTTCAGTTCAGGAAGAGGCAAGTTGCTCCTGCAGCTGGCGATTTAGTCAAACAGGATGAGAGACGTTTTTCGTGAAGGAAAACGTGAGAGCAACAACTGCTAATTGCTCTTAGAAAGGGGTACAGTTTTGAGACTACAACAAGTCCCTGACTTGAAATAGACTCTTCTCAATTTCTGATGCTGCTTGAAGGGAGGCTGCACCCATTGTGGGGGTTGGGGGAGGGTGAGGAGGAGGGGAAGAGGAAGGTTTCGTCTGCGCGACGCCCGATGTGGTTTGGGCCCAACAAACCAGTGGTCGAACCGAACACGGTCGTTCGGAAACAATACAGCAACACTTTCATATTGGCTTCCAAGCGCTGCTCGGGCAACACCAAACCAAACGTGGTGGGGTTTCCAGACCAAGGACGTCCTTGATGCACGTGTACAGCTTCCGTTCCGAGGCGGTCCACCATCACACAAAAATGGATTTGTTGGTGGGAGAGCGTGTGTGGCGACTGGTTGCTTACGCGGATCAGGATCTTGACGTGTGGATGAATCCTCCTTGAAAAAAGGAACAAATTCAGAGCCATGCAGCGTCGCGGCACTTTCACCTCTTGATTGGTTCAGAGCGTTTCTCATGGGAATTGTTCGGGGTGAACCATCTGTTCGCGAACGTCGTGATCGTCATGAACGTCGTCCAACCATCCTTGGCACGCGGCGGTTGGGCGAAGGGCTAGATGTGGGGGACACGCGTGTCAGGCGGACACTCTGTCGCCGTCCCACGCCCCTTGTCATGAAAATGGTCCAGGGAGCTCACGAAAGCGAAACAGTGAACCGCGTTGATTGGATGATTTCGACCAACCTTATCGCCACCTTGCACGGCTCGAAGCAGCTCCACGTGCAAAAATCGGGCTGACCAGGGGATTCCCCCGTGCACGTACTGTAGCACAGCGGCCAAACAAGCGCAGACAAACCCCATGCACGCATAGCACCTGTCTCGAAATGAGACCAAATGTCCCCCCGTTCCCCCCCTCCCCCGCTCCGCAACCACCCTTGGCCCTCCTTCCGCCGCGGAACTCCCAACCAACCCCTGCCGGCCTCCCCCCCAAACACCTCCCAAACTTGCATCCCACATGCTCAAAACCCGAGGCATCCACCAGGTGAATATCCTCATTAAAGTTCTAACAAACAGTTAGGGAGTGCACATCTAAGACATGAAAACAACTGCGTCTAAATTCGATTTTCCATTGACTTGAGAGGACGAAAACATTAATAACAATCATCCTCCCACTTGAGAGGCGAGGGGTTGTATCAAGCTCAACCAGTAGCTGGTGCTACTTGAAAACGCCCTCCCACCTGCAAAAAGAAAGCTTAGCATATACGCGTGCATACTACTCTCCCCCACTCCCCACACCCCACAAAAGAACCACTATACAGAACTAAAAATGCATTGCCATGCCTTCCAAGGCTACCAACCATCCCACACCTTAGCGGATGGAAAAAGGTGAGCCAGTGCAATCATGCCACCGGAGCCCTAAGGATCTGGTCTCTCTTAACATCCCCAGATGCCGACTGAAGCCATTGCCACGCAGAACCAGGCGGGGCCTGTGCTGCATCGGCAGGTATGGACGCTGGAGGCTTCACAGCGAAGTGGTTGGACATGGGCCCAGCTGCTGCAGCTTGAAGTGCAGCAAGGGCTGCGGCAGCTGCTGCTGCAGCAGCAGCCGGGGATGAAAATCGATCTGGCGTAGGAAGCGGCAACGCTTGAAGTTGCAATTGAAGGCACTCACGCTGTGCCTTGAGGCGGGCCTTCTCGTCCCGAAGTTCCGACTTCTCAGCCTGAAAAAACACAGAAAAAAATGCTGATGAGATATGTGCGGTAGAACAGATGGCAACGGAGATTAGGAAGGAAATAAAACCAACATTCCAAACAACAAAAATATCAAGATCTTTTTTCTGACTCTAAATCACCTTGAGCTCCTTGATCTGCTCCTGGAGCTGCCACGTGCCCTGCTTGAGAGCTGCAGCCTCCGCCTTGAGGCCAGTGAGCACACGAACGGCGTTGTTCAGAATTATGCCCTTGTCCGTCCGTGGAGTCGTGGTGGGATCCAGTTCGCGACCCAGCTCAAGAAACCTGAAAAGGGGAGGGAAAATAAGGAAAAAAGAAAACCAATAAGACAATCAAACCAACAAGAAAACCAATAAGAAATGTTGATGAGACAAAACCGCCGGGATTTCAATGGACGTCCAAAAGCGCGACGCGGTGTTTCGTAGCACGAAGGACACATTATTCAGCTCGCTGCGTCACGCCTTGTACCTGTCATTTAGTCGGTCGCGACGCAATTTCTCTCGTTGTGCTTTGCTGAGCCCCGCTTCCTCCAAATCATCACGCGATCTGTGAACAAACAAGACACGCTCTGAGTTGTAAGCAAACATTCCGTTGCCGCATCCTTTTAAATTCGCCTACTTTTAAAGAGTCTCGGAGAGACACACCTTTTCCGAGCAGGTCTCGAAGAGTCTGGGCTCTTAATCATCGGACTCAAAAGTCTCACGCTGCGCACAGGCAAGTCAGCCGACGTTAGGGGGGAGACGGGAGGGATATTAAGATTGGAGCGGTAGAGTCTCAGCGACTTAAGCCAATTGCCTTCACGGGACTCACTCTTCCGACGATGTTGTTTCCTGAGGTCGAGATTTCGACGGCGACGGCACTTCTCGAGCCTTGCGTTTGCCGAGTTCCAATTCCGTAACATGTGACTGCTCGAGCCAACGCCCTGGTGGCCCGAGAGTCAAGCTCGGACCCGCGGCGCCTAGATCACTCTGAAAGCGCCCTACGAGGTCGACCATTATGAGGAATACCCAAGGGCGTGCGAAAAGCTAAGGGACTGACTCTGAGCGGCTCGATTTGAGCTGCTCCAATCTGACAACCCTTGAATGGAAAAGCGTTGAAACGAAACTGGACAAGCAAGCTTGGTGAAAAAACTTGGAACGGTAACAAACAAACTGATCTAGCCAGGCGAGATTTAGAAGAGAACGCGAAGTGTTTATGTGTTGGCGAAACTCGATGCGCTGGCTTGGAAGGAAGAGGGAGGGGAGGGGAGGGGAGGGGAGGGGAGGGGAGGGGAGGGGAGGGGAGGGGAGGGGAGGGGAGGGGAGGGGAGGGGAGGGGAGGGGAGGTAAGGGGAGGCGTAGGGAGAAGAGGGAGGGGAGGGGAGGGGAGGGGAGGGAGGGAAGTGTAGTGGGGGGAGGGGGAAGCGGAGGGGGGAAGGTCTGGTGGTTGAGGCGGATGGAGTTGCGCGGTGGGGGGAGGACCTTGGCGGGACCTTTCACACACTGTGTGGTGCAGTGGATGGATGGAGCATGGGTTGCGTCCGCACTAGGCAAGGGATTTGCGCCAACTCGCGCTCTTTCTGTGCGGTACACAAGATGCCCAACCCCTGCACGCGAAATTGCCTCGCACGTTCCAGAAACCTTGCACACGAAGGTTTTTTCCCGGGCAGTTGCACCCACGTTACAAGCACGTCAACCAATACGAACCACAGAAACAGAAGAGACCGAAGTCAAACAGTCAACGGTGAGTTACAAAATTTTGCTATAAGCCCTTTTTGCCCGACGCGAATTGACGAAACCTCCACGAAATGCATGAATCACTTAAGCGCCCCCTTCACAAGGCAACCTTGGGTTAGTCAAACGGACATCGTGTGTACTGTACTCTTTGCAGCTCCGCTAGAATCAAAGCGGATTGTGTTGGCGCTGACGCGGGAACAAGTGGCTGGCGTCGGTGGACCCAATCAAACCAATCCCTCCCTCCCACCTACGTGTATGATTTTTTTATGGACTGAGGCGAAAGCGGAAACTGTGGGCAGTTGAGCTGCACTGTTCGGGCAGACACATGAGGTGTGTGCATCGCGGCCCAAGGCACACCACCAGGAAAGACAAGAGATGGAGCGTGTGAGAGGGCGTGGCGGTGGGTGTTGATGGCGGCTAGAAACGGCTGGAATCGCGGGCATTGCCTTCAATTTGGCTGCACGTGAACTTGTCCCGCACAGCACGGGAAACGGATTTGATGAAACGCTTTCATGCCAAATAGCCCAGTCAATACGTACCAGGACGAACTTCATATTTACGGAGGTTCAATAGAGCTGTACTCTGTGCAATATTCGGAAGGACAGGGGATCAAGAAATCACTTTTAAGTAAACATCTCTAAGATTGTGTCTTTCCACCTTCTAAATCCATTGTGTCTTTCCCACTATGACCTACTGGGTTTGATGAGAGGAACTGCTTTGAGTGACCACTACGCAAGGTACAGTAGTAGATTGCAGTTTCCCCTTGAATCCCTTGATGTTGGCTGGAATCTCCTTGACGCACGCTGAAAGATGTGGACGAAATGGCTCGAGTGGGGGGCAAAGGGCCCTTTTGGCCCCTGCCTTCGGCTGGTCCCAAAGGAGCTCAACCTTTCGTGTGTGCAAGAGTAAAGGTCGTTACGAACAGCTTCGCTATTCGTTTTGATACATCCATGTAGTTCACTGGTGTCGTTTACGTTTCTCCTGAAATAAATTGGTCACTATCAAATGCGTTGCTCCTCATCATCGAAGCACTGAAATCGCGAGCACAGTTCCAGTTTAATGCTCTACCCAACCCAACCAATCTAGATGCTGAGTTGACCGTTGTGAAACGTATAGCATCTCACTGAGCCGTTTCGGGGCGAATGTGTGAGGCAAGCCCTAGCAAGTCCAGGTGTCCTAATGACGCGTCACCTCCCTCGATCGATCCTGCGCAGGGTCGATTTTTGATTTGGTTTAAAAAGTTTGTAAACAATTTTAAAAGCAACACTCGGGGTTTTAGTGCGGTGAACGATCGAACCTCGATTTTGCACGATCGATCGAGGTGACGCTTCCTTAAAGCTGCGGTCTACATACAGGATGGTGTTTTCTGGGGGCATTTAGGGTGCATGCCCTTTGGCGCCCGATTTACGAAATGTTTGCGACACGCAAGAATCATAAAGCAAGGGTGCACATTCCTAGGGGTGGTTTTTGGGGGCATTGTTAGGGTACACCCTTTGATGCCTGCTGATTCGTTGGCGAAGTGTCCAAGGCCTGTAAAGTTGGTGCGAGCTGTGCAACCAAGACTGGCGAAGCCAACCCATTTCGGACAATCACTTGGGCGCAACTCTCTCCAGTCATATCCACTGTGAGGGTTGGAAAAGGGGTACGAGCATGTGACCTGGCGGAACTCAAGTGATAATCACACAACCAAGCAAACACGATAACATGTGCCCGTCAATCTGAACAAGCGCAGATACCGCCATTTCGCTACTAATAATAGAAGCGTTGCGCCACTACGACTTAGTCCACGGCATAGTGTCCGGTCCCCTACGGTATTAGGGTTGCGTCATCGGATGCGAACGGAGATAGCACGGCTAGAGCGCGTCTTCGTCTAGCAACCGACTCGTCGTTCTCCCGTTGTGGCTGCGGGAACGCCGTATCGCAATCTCTCACGACTCCCCCACTCGCCGGGTTTAGTGCGGCGTAGCCTCTCGCCTCCCCGCCAAATGTGAGCCCCCACTCTGCGTCACACCCAGGCCGTGCGACCTCCAGTGCCGCCTCGTCTCCTCACTGCCGCCAAAATCGCAACCTCGCCTTCTCATCGCCACCACAACACCGACTCGTCACAGCGCGATTAAATCGCCGCCACATCGCCGCCTCGCCACTACGCTTCCACATCGCCGTCGTGGCGCGCCGCCACATCGCGAGCTCTCCGTGCCGCCACCGCGTTGCCGCCACATCGTCGCATCGCCGGCACATCGCCTCCTCGCCGCCTCGCCTCCTCAACAACGTGCCGCCTCCAGTTCGCCACCTGCTGCATCGCCGCCTCAAACGCCCTCGCTTACACCGCCGCCTCGCCGTTGCACTCATTTTCCTCGATCCCCCCCTCCTTCCCCCCGTGTCAAATCTCCTCACCCCGCTACACGTGGGTGGTCAGCTCCCTCCGTACCCTCCCTTCCCTCTGTTTAGCTGTTCTCATGCCGAAACTTTACCTTCCTTTTTTTTTTATCACCTTCTTCCCATCTTGCCCCACCTGGACACCCACTTTTTTTCACCCTTCTTCCCCGTATTTCCCCCCCTTGATTACCCTCTTCTCCCCCCCCCCCCCCCTTCTTTCCCGTTTTCCCGCCCATGGTTCTGTCAAGCTGTATAAGTTATATGCTTGTGTAGGCTGTAGTGGGGTAGCCCATAAAGGGTACAACCCAATGTTAGGGTTAGCATATGTACCCAACTCTGTTTCAATCCAACATCATTCGTGCCTGTGATTTCAACATGGTTTCAGAGCAGTAGGTCCGTAGGACCGTTTTTTTTTTCGGGCCCACCTACCGCTGCCCCACGCCTTTGCCTGTCACTGTACCTAGGACGTGCTGCACTGCACGCACTGTCTGCCTACTGTCTACTGTCTGAGCTGTCTGCTGCTGCTTCGCGCACAGCCCTAATTTTCACTCACTGCCTCGTTTTTACCCCCGCGGGTCGCCCTCTCCTGCCCGAATCGCGCCTCGGCAGCCGAGTCGCGTCCCGCGCACGGTCCCGCGCAGCCCGTCCCGAGCCCGCGCGGCGAGCGCGCGGCCCGCAGCTGCCCCGCGCAGCCCGTCCCGAGCCCGCGCGACGCGCGCGCGGCCCGCAGCTGCCCCGCGCAGCCCGTCCCGAGCCCGCGCGACGCGCGCGCGGCCCGCCGCTGCCCCGCGCAGCTCGCCCCAAGCCCGCGCGACGCGTCCGCGGCCCGCAGCGCGCTGCGCGCCGTCCGCGCGGCCCGCGCCGCGCCCTACCCGCCAGTGCACGGCCCCCGGCAGCGGCTCGCGCCACCCTACCGCCGCCACGGCCCCACCCTGCCGCTGACACGACCCGGCCCCGCCGCTGACACGACCCGGCCCTGCCCTGCCGCTGACACAACCCGGCCCTGCCCTGCCGCTGCCACGACCCGGCCCTGCCCTGCCGCTGCCACGACCCGGCCCTGCCCTGCCGCTGACTCGATCCGGCCCTTCACTGTAGCCGCTGCCGCGGCCCCGCTGCCGCGGCCCCGCTGTCGCCGCCGTCGTGCGCCGACCCTGCCGCCGTCCGCCGAGCACCGGCCCTGCTCGCCCGGTGAGAGCCTGCTCTTCCTGCCACTGGTGAGCCCCTGCCTTGCTAGCGCGCTGCCGCGCCGCCTGCCTGCCTGCCTGCCTGCCTGCCCTGCTGCTACTCCTGCTCCTGCTGCTACCGGCCGAGGCCAGATGCAGCCCTAGCGACGTCCGCGTGAGTCCCTCCCGCCCCAGCAGCTCCGTGAGTGGTACGCTAGTTGGGGTTGTAGGGGTGGCCGCGCTGCTACTGCTGCCACTACTGCTGCTGCTGCTACTGGCGGTGGCCAGATGCAGCTCCAGCGACGTCCGCGCGAGTCTCTCACGCCCCAGCAGCTTCGTGAGTGGTATGCTCAGAGTAGAGGGTCTCTCAGTTCTGTTCGCTGCTCTTACGTCATTCGCACTGGTGCTCGGACTGGTCAGCCTTGCGGGACACCTAGTCACACACAGTCCCGCCGCTTAGCCCGTCTGAGCGACGCCTGGCGTACCGAGTTTGGCGACGGGGCTGAGCTCCCCGACTGGGTGGAGCTACTTAGGCAGAGAGTAGATATATTCTCTCTTGACTATGATGCTATTCTCACTGCCATGTATGCATTGCCTACTAGTGCTGACCGTGCCTGTTACCTGTGTGTACCGCCTGACCCAGGTATAGAGCCTGCTGCTCTAGGTGCTGGTGAGGCTGCTGCTCTAGGTGCTACTGCGTCTCCAGCTCTAGGTGCTGGTGAGGCTGCTGCTCCAGGTCCT